GTCAGCAGTGGGGGTTTTTGTCCATGCAGATCTTTCATCCCTCAACTCCCAACATGGCCAGTAACAATGGGTTATGGAAATCTGGTGAACCAAAAGTTTCACACTATCATGAGTATGTAAGATAAATGAAGTGCATGGTTTATATGAAGAAAATAGTACAATTGGGAATGAGTCATCATTTGTCAACCAGAGCACCTCCAAGTTGGCCAGCCTTCCAATTTAAATGGAAATTTCAGACTAAAAACACTTGACTGATTGGCTCATGCATCTCCTGCATGTTATACATGTGTTGTTTGGGCCTAAGGTGATCTATATGGGAAGATCTTTCTTCCTAAGAGGTGGAGAACTCCTGTCATTTGAAGTAGACGGTACCAAGCTAGATAGGTCTGAAAAAACTGGGTATGAGACGGCTTAAATTAATAAAGTGGAATCCTGTTGTTTAGCATAGTAAATCACAGTTATGGTAAGCCTATTTGAAGCAATTGAACTTATGGAGATCTTGACGCACTGAATCCTCATTGATTCAGTGGGCCTACTCTAGTGCAATTTACTACGCTAAGCAACAGGATTTAGCCAATGTGTTCAGATGCCCCTTGCTTTTATGGCCCAGAACTACTTGGTAGAGAATGACAGTTCATTGCATTCAGTTTTCAGCACTTACTTTGAAAGAGCAATCATTCCAGGACAGCTTGAAACGATATGCTGTTAAAAACATGGTGTGAATGCACTCCTTGTGATTTAAGCAGACAGTTTTTTTCCCACTTTTCCTCTTTTTGTAATCAATAACCTGCTGGTTTGGTGTCACTGAGATGGCTTGCTTTTGGTGACTGATTAGTATTGACAAACACTCTGACTGTAACAGCAAACTGTGACTGTGTGAACAAACTAAGGCATGGCCATATTGATTCAGCATTAGCTGAATGCTTTTGCATGCCTGCTATTTTTGTCAGATGCAGAGACTATAAAGAATAAATGTAGGTTGGGTGGAGAGCCGATATGCCTTATTTTCCTTTATAACACTGTGGATGAATGATATTAAATGTAATTGGATGGTTTCATGCCCGATTCTTAAATCAAATTACGGTAGAACCTGTACTCATGGCGTGTTTAATTTTTGTCTCATATTCTGACTTAATTAACAATATACAGTATTATGTTAATTGATGCAGATAACCTGAGAGAGGAGTAAACACACATTTTTGTAGACTGTTTATCTCTAGTTTACATAATAGCAGTCCCATGCTTCCAGCCCTGTGCTTCTGTCATAGGTGCAGTCTCATAAGGTTATTGTATGTTTGTATCAGTCCCAAAATTGACTCCAGTCTCACAGTTGAGATATAGTCTCTTGACTGGCTCAAATGTGTTGAAAATGAGTATATCTGAAAAAGACCATTGCTATTTCTGTGGAGACTCTAAGAGCAGCAAGCTCATTTTTAGCCATGGTGTCTGTCTTTCCTTCAGAGGTGCCTCAATGCCAGCAAATTGTGCTACATCTGTTAAATTATGTTGTCTTTCCCCTAAAGATTAATTCCCTGGTTTATAGGCTGAGCATATACAGATTTGCTGGTCAGCATGTACTGTAGAACTGCCTCTCGTTCCTTTTCTGATTTTTTCCCCCTCTGATTCTTCCTTGCATGTGGCTCTCATTTATCTGTACTTGTCAGTTGGCCTGCTTAAAGCTTATCTTTTTTTTGAGATGCCTTCTCATATCATAGAACCTTAACAATTAAAGAAAATCTTTTAAGATCTAGAAATCTAAGCTTAATGAAGACCCCAGCTAGCATGGTAACAATAATGATCATATACAGATACATACATAGTAACATACCTGGACACTCACTCCTCCTCCTGTCTCCTGTCCTTCTTCCACTCTTAGAACATATTTTCTTTTAGAATATAGTTTAAAACATTCATATTTGTATTAACAAGGAACTCAGAATAAAGTCTGGAACGTATTGGCACTTCCTGACTTTCCCTGCAACTCTGAAGACATGCTTGGCTGTTCAAATCATGGTATTATTGCTACTACATTTAAAAAAAGGTTTCTGCATTTCTTCTAACAGTGTACAGAAGAGTGCTGTTCTAAATGTAATTTTCCTTTTGTAAGGACTGTCCTTGTTGCATTCTTGAGCAGAAAATGCAGGAAGGGCTATGTCACCCAAAGCCTCATCAGAATAAGCCTTGAGGCTGATTGTGTTGTGCATCCAGTAGTCACTACAGATTAAGGTACATGCATTTGCTGGGTGGTATGATTTGCAAACAACTGTCAAGTTGGTTGTCTCTTCCAAGGGCCTCCCTAGATGAGACACTGATTCTGTATCTACAAGCAGGGTGCTATCAAAAAGCAGACTGTCTATGCTGACATAAGCTTGCATCAATCGACAATTTGGCAAATTACTTGCTTTTTCTTTGTAATTGGTCAGAAGGAAGATGGAACGGGGAAGTGTTTGCATGTCTGTTGTCTCAGGAATGGAGCGCTGAAACATTTTTGTGTCTGGATGGATAAACTTGTGGGAGGAGGAAATATGTAGTTGGTTTTGGTCAGTGATATCTGAACTTTGGCCAGAACTCTGGAAGTAAATTAAGCCTCTTAACCTGTTAGATTCCATGCCTGTGTTGGAAACTTAAGATGTTTCCAGCACAAACATGTGAGGAGGTGCCTTCCAGGACTGTTACGAAGATGAATAGAAGAGTGTGAAACCTGTTATATATCTTGAAACAACTATAGAAAGTGAGAGCAAGGGTGTGTGCCAAGCCATGTGTGCAAATAAGCTGTACGTACTTGCACAAGAGATTATGGGTCCAGAATTAGTTCTTTCTGTTGATGTGTCTAGAGCTTGGAGCTGATTGTTTTTCATAAAGGCTGACATTCAGACACTAGCCAGTTAGTATCGATTGGCCTCTGGCTATTAAGTGACCTATATGTAATTGGTGGGTGAGCACTAGATGTTTCTGAGATCTTGTTAGTTTTCCACAACAAGGGAGTCAATGCTGTGTGAGAATTTGGGAACACAAGTCAGAATTAAACAAATGTACATGGGTGTTTGTAAAAATGCCTTCAGCTGAGTCTTAACCCAGTTTTCAGAAACTCTTTTCAGGAAATAATAGGTTCACAGTATACTGTATATAGTATGGATGTTTGACCTTTCTTTCCCAGCCTTTGTTCATATCTATTGTTCTTTGTTCCAGTAAGAACTGATACATTCTTATGTGTTGTGAGTATTATCAATTTGGCATCTTAGAGCTTTCTTTTCATAATGCTCTCTTTTATAATGTTTAATAAAATTAATACATGCACCCTCCTCCCCAGTAGCTATATTGGTCTGTGAGAAAAAGGAAAAACCAAATCCACCTTTAAACACCCTTTATTAGCAAAGAGCAAATTGCTGCAATAGTATGCAAATGTGTTTTCCAGAATTTTTCAGCAGGATATGTGATACAAATATTAGGGAAGGGAAAGAAACAGAAAAGTCTAAACATTTGACCCAGTTTTTTCACTATATTCTCAGCAATTAAACTCAGTTGAAAGAGAAAGATGGCTATTACAAACAATCAGTGTGTCACTAACATTTGTGTTGGCACCCAATTATCACCAGCAGTGCCTATCAAAACTGACAGGTAATGGTGGAACGGCATTTCAGAAGGCACAAGATTTGTTACAACTCAGAGTGTGGCCTTTGATACGCCAATGGAGAGGTCACTTCCTTTTAGCGTGAGTATGATCATGCAATCATAGGATTGTTGAGCTGGAAAATATTGACAGTGAGCTGTAGCTGAGTTTATAATCAGATTCAGCTCTCTGAATGCCAGAATGACAAGTGGACTGCACTTCACTTTTGAAAAGTAAATCGCATGCAGGCATCATATTTGATTAAACAAGAAAGCAAATGGAAATACATTAAAGTGGAATGGATCATAGGAATGCTAGTTCTAACCAAGATGGGGGTGCCAAAAGCCACTCAGGAACAAGATCACAAGAGCTCTTGAAGAGGGAATGTGAGGAGAGGATGGAAGTGCCACCAGAAATCCTAATTTAATTTAGATTGAAGGGTCAGTATAGACCTGAGCAGGCCAAGGGACAGTCTAGAACACTGGTTCTTAACCTTTGTTACTCGGATGTTGGTATAGACCTCAGCAGGCCAAGGGACAGTCTAGAATACCTAGATCCAGTCTAGAATATTTTCTTTTTCTAGACCTCTTCTTCAGATATACGTATCTTCATGGCAAGCTGAGTTTCACCTTGTCACCTCTGACTGAAGGGACTTCAACTACACACCCTTCTGATACGGAAAATCCACAGTTAAAGCATCTCAGACAGATAGTCATCCTGCTTAAATCTCAAAGCCTTCAGTGAAGATTGCCATCTTCTAGGGCAGTTGGTTCCACTGTCAATCCTCTGTTACCATCACAAAGCTGTTACTGACTGAGATGTCTCTGCTTGTAATTTGAAAGCATTTGTTTGAGTCCTATTCGCTGAAGCAGATTTCATTTTTGCTTTTTATTGTTCCTTTTCTCTGAATATGTCTGCTTCAGTGGTTAGCTCTTTGTGATGGTGGCACAACTGTACGATTGGACAGTTTAAATTTCAATGTGGGTTATTTTGAAAGTACCAAAACAATGGATGGAGGAAATCTTTCATTCCTAATGGCGGTAGGAGTGCATTGAACCCAGAGTGACTGGTTACTAACACAAAAGTCAGACTCCTCTGGTGAAATATTGCATGCATAAGGGAAGTTGCACAAATAGCGTTTGCAGTTTTCTGATTTTTTTATTCTGCATCCTTGCATGCAAGTAGAGATGGGTGCCAACTGCTGGTTTGGCAGTTTGTCCTGGTTATTTTACTGCCACAACAGCTGTTTGGTGGTTCAGCACCCCACATGTTGTTAAAAGGTTAAAATCTTATTGTAGAATTTCAAGCACGTAATTTCTAAAAGTTAAGTCTGTCCCGATAAACTCCAGTTTCTGTCTCTTGCTTTTTAATTTTCCTGTCCCCTTCGCAGAGAACGATTGGTATTTATGTCGCGTGGTGATTGTTGCTGTTGAAGAGGAACCTATCTCTTGGGGAATGTATCCATACCCCTACTTGGCACGTGTTGATTCTGAGGCCCGAGCAGGCACAGTCGTGTATCAGCTGGCTGCCCATTATAGTGACAATGAAAATTCTAGTGCTGGGATATCCTATGCCCTCATTGCAGGTAAGCAAATGAACTGCAAATTCTACCAATGGATTGCTTTGAAAACTATTGCCAAGAGTCATACCCTTCATTTTAAAAGTATTTGAAAATGTAACAATTGGATTATAACGCACATTGTAGCAGGTGTGAGAAATATAAGCTAAGTAAATAGTTTCAGAGATAATCTTCTACCTGTGTTAAATGCACAGGCAAAGGTCCTTTTCTTTTGTATCTTCAGGTAAGTATGCATGGCGGCAATCTAAAGTGAGACCAGGGTGCATGGGTGAAGGGAGGTTTAGAACTTTCCTACCTGACTCTTTTATTTAAAAATGCAACCATAGTGGAGCAGTTTTCTCCTTTTCAAAGTTCCCCTCTCTGCACTGCAGCAGCAGGAGTACCATATTTTTCTGCGTATAAGATGATACTTTTGTCTAAAATCTTTAGATGATACTTTTGTCTAAGATCTTTAGACTAAAAATTGAGGGTCATCTTATACATGGCAGTAAGCTGAGGAGAGAACAAAACGGCACATACCTTGCCTCTGCAAGCAGGCTGCCTCCAATCATGAGGCTTAGCTTCCTACAGTCAGGAGACTTAGCTTCCTCCAATCACGAGCCTTATGGAACTGACATCAACTGATGCTGTACAAACCAATTGTAACACACCACATTGGAGGTGGAGCATGTAGGCAGTGCTCAGATTCAACAGGGACTCCTAATGTCCGAGCATTTTCAGCCCAGAGGATGAATACTCAAAGCTAAGTTTTCTTAATTTGGTGTTAGAAAAGGGGGGGGGGAATCTTATACATGAGGGGCATCCTATAGATGGAAAAATATGGTACATTTTAAAATGTAAAGCCGTGCATATTGATCTCAGTTTGGCATCTGACTATGAGCATTGACAGGAAGGTTTAAAAAAAAACCCAGGGTTTTAAGCTATACATTATGTCCATACATGGCGTTTAGCCTACTCCTTTAATACTACTTTTAGTGGATCTTTTGCACTTGTGACCAGTGTAATTTTACTGTCCTGGGATGCAAAAGCAGATGCTTTCACAAGGTCAGACTATTTGTCCATTTAGCTCAATATAAATAACTGTCTATCAGCACCTCTTGGGGTCTGAGGCAGAGGCCAGTCCCATCATTTGCTACCCAACTCTTTCAGTGGAAGATGCCAATCCAGGACTTTTTCCATGCAAAGCTATAGCCTCAACCCTTAAGTTGGTGCAGATAGGCCATTTTTCTCCAGTATCTCTTTAAAAGCCTTTGCTGAGTTGTTGTGTGTATGCATCATTTGTTGATGAAGGTTCATTTAACCATGATAATGCCATGCATGTTTCATGGGATCACATATCTCTTGGTCTACTTCATGTCTTCACTTTAGAAATGCCACCGCAGTTACTGCATAGAACTTTCTGTGCTCCATCCTAGATTTAAAGTAAAAGGTCTGGGGTGTCAGTTCTCCACAGAGGTTGTCGTTCTTCCATGGTGGCTGTTGTTGCTTGTCCCCATGAATCCCCAATATGTACTTTCCATACTCTCCTTCACAGTTCCATTCTCAATCTGTTCCAAATCACGTGCTAAAATATTCTGTCTGAAATCCTGTTGTGAAGTTATGCAACCAGCATAACTTCTGGAAGTGGATTGTTGTGAGTTAAGAAATTTCTGTAGACATTGTATGTTCCATACAAAGTGATGTAGCTACCCCGTTTCCCCAAAAATAAGACCTAACCTGAAAAGAAGCCCTAGTATGATTTTTCAGGATGCTCCTAATATAAGCCCTACCCCCCAAAATAAGCCCCAGTTAAGTGAAACGCCGCCTTCCACCATTGTGCAGCATCGTGCAGCAACCAACAGAAGATGACATGACTATAAAATAAAACATCCCCTGAAAATAAGCCCTAATGCGTTTTTGGAGCAAAAATTAATATAAGACCCTGTCTTATTTTCAGGGAAACACGGTAGTTATGTAATAGATAATGTCTGTTAAGATTTATCAATTTATGGCAATTTGCATCTAAAAGTTTTGCCATTTGTATAACTGCACCACAGGATTTCATCCTCTTGAGTTACCTGCAAATGTTAGATGATGGAAGCAAGAGTGTAGATAGTGCAGTTGAAGTAAATGTGGATGCTTTTGGTTAATTACAAGTGCCTAGTGCCAGTCTGAATTTTTCATGACACAAAATATACAGTGTGCAAGTCATACAAGGAATACATAAACTTGCAGTCTGCGGAACTGAGCTTCTTTGCCATTCAAAACTTTGCCTCTTTTTTTCAAACCTGAACTCCTGTTCCATGTCAAACCTCGGGAACCTGTAACTGAGAGTTTTTATTCCATGCACATCTTCCAAGACCACAAACCACAGCTTTTAATAGCTTCTCATCTTCTCTACCTTGAAGGAGAAGAGCTAGTCTGTGTGATCTACACAGTCACAGAGTGCTCCCAGAAGAAAGGAATTGTGAATAACTTCTGAGTATTCTGTACCCAGAAAGCTCTACGAAGGGTCATCATTAAGTCGGAATCAACTTGACAGCACATAATTATTAATATTAAAATACTGGTGGCATCCTGCTGTCTTCCTATGGATTATACATGGATTAATACGTTTCTGGATTAAACTATGCTGGCAGTTGTATATGCTTAAACCATGCTTGATAATAGAACATTACCCAAGAAAATGTATCTTATCTTCCTTCACTGCACTAAGGAAGAACAAATAAGAAAAGACAGAAAGATCAAAACAGTAGCAAGAAGGAAATCAAATGGATGAGGAGCTAGCAGGAATAGGGACATGAATCCGACTGTCAAGTCGGATTTAAGTTGCTCTGGTAACTCAACCTGAACTCCACTCGGGGGAGGGGTTTCAATGCCTGAGACTCAAGTCATGACTCAGAACCCACCCACCACCTCCTTTTTTTCTAGGGGAAAATTATTTTTAATAAGGATTCAGACTTGGGCTTGGGACTCAGGATTTAGTACCAAAGACTCAGGTTCAGACTTGGTACTTGGGACCAAAGACTTGGACTTGGGAGGACTACTCAAAGACTTGCCAACGTCCCTGGGAGCTAGGAGGCTTTTTTTTAAAGTGACAATTTTAAAAAAATCTTTTCACTCAACAGGTGGTGAAGAACGTTTTGATATAGATGTGGACACAGGTGTCATATTGACAACGGGGTTGCCTTTAACTCTGAATCAAGAATATGTGGTCACTGTGCTGGCCATAGATGAGTATGGCAGCAAAAGTCCATATGCTTTCATCTCCATCCTGGCTGGCTCCAGGCCTCCCCAGTTCACTAATATATCCTACAGTGTATTTATTCCAGAAAATACTCCAGCAGATGAAAAGTAAGTAGTGATAGTGATAGTGATGGGAAATTAATATTCACTGTTTCTAAGTATTGTAGAGTTGATCCAGAAATTGCAGATATGAAAGCGAGGGGGCGAGGGGGAGAGTCGGTTAGTACAAATTGTTGGCATTTGGAAAAGTTGCTTTTTTGAATTCCAGGTCCTAGAATCCTGCAGCATAATTCCAAATGAGAGACTGGGTCTCAGGATGTAAAAAAGACGTGTTAAACTTTGAAGATAGCATGCACCCTAGAAGCAGTCTCCTCTTTGGAGATAATCTAGTAAAACAGTTTATATACATCAGTGATATTTTTATGATTTGGAGGGGCCGTGAGTGTCTGTTAAAACAATTCTTTGGATGTTTCAATGCTCTGGATCATAACATTCAATTTGACACCAATCATAATTATAATGAGATACATTTCTTAGATCTTACTGTTAAGAAGGACTCATGGATGTTATACACAAAGGTATACAGAAAACCTACAAATTGTAACACCTATCAGGTTTGATAGCTACCATCCTAGATCTCTTCATTAAAATCTCCCATATGGTCTGTTTTTAAGAATGAAAAAGAATTGTACCAAGAGCAAGGACTTTGAGCAGGAATCTCTCATACTGAGAAATCAGCTAAGAGACAGAGAATACCCACATGAGACTATAAACTATAGTCTTGCTAAGGCTATCAATGCCACACAGGGTGATCTCTTAAAAAAAAAGAAAGAACCTATACACCATGTTAACTGTGTTGAATGCCACCCAGGGTGATCTCTTTTTAAAAAAAGAACCTATACACCATGTTAACTGTGTTTTAACATCTGATCACGTCACAAAAAAATTACAGAATCTCATAAAGAGGCATTGACACATTTTAGGAAGCATGGAAGGTTTTCAGGAGAAATCACAAATCTCCTTTAAAAGAACTAGAAACCTAGGGGATGTTTTAGTAATGAGTGAGTTTAAAGACAGATTATCACCATGAATCTCTCGTACACTGCCTGGTTCTTCTCCTGCCACAGGACACCATCCCTGTGGCCGTTGTGCCTACTGTAAAAATAGATGTCATATGATATAATTTAGAGATCCACAGAATGGCAAGAGAGATGTCTTAAAGAAATGCACTGCTTGCGACACTAAGGGAGTGATGTATGCTATAAGGTATAATTAAACTGTATATAGGCAAGACCTCTCTAGATCACTTATGACACATATAGGAGAACACTTTAACAATTTAAGAAATGAAAGTCTAGGTAGTCCTTTTGTTAACCATTTCATGGAATTTAATCATTCAGAAAGAGATCTAGCATTATGGGTTGTAGATATGATTCCTGGAAAGTATGAGAAGTCCTTACTGAGAAAAGAAATTGACTGGATATTAAGATTGAACATTCTAGCCTCTTTGGGGCTTAATGAAGAAATAGATTTCTTAGCACTGGCCCCACTGTCTTGCTGATTGTTTAACTGTTTCTGCCAGATGCATATGAATGCATACCACTCCTCCAGGATTTGTTCTTGTAATTATTAATCAGAGCTGAGACAGACCAAACGAGCTGACAAAGTTTTAAAAGCTTGGTATGTATCAGAAATATTGCTATCAGTCCATCTTAGAAGATCATGTTGCATGCATATTCACTAATACTGCTGTATATTATTTGCAGTTCTCCCTTGCTTTCTTTTTATAGACTAATTCATTTCTATTTTTATGTTAAGCTCCTGAAGAAGGCCATTTACTGAAACAGTCAAGCTTTTAAAACAAGAATAAAGTTCATCACATTCTTTTTACATCCTGAGACCCAGTCATTCACTTGGAATTCTGCCACTAGTGGATGTACCAGTTCCCTGTTTTCTTCTAGAATCCTGTGGACAGTTTGACCATAACCTTCACAAGCTCTACATATTGTAGCATGACAGATTTGTTTGCAAAGTCGCCTATTTCACTTCTTCCATATCATATTCCTATTCCAAACTATGTTAGGCTGGAATCTGAGAGATGTGGGTTCTAGTCCCTAAGATGTAAGGCTCATTAGGTGATTTTAGGCCTAGATGCTCCCATTCAGCCTGACCAAACTTGTGAGGTTGTTGTAAGGATAAAGTGGGGAGAAAGAGAACCTTGAGGTCACAGAAGAAAGTGCAGGATATAAAGATAACAAACACATCCTAAATAAAAGTAACAAGTCATGTTATGCTTGATCTTTTTCTTTTCAGAGTGGCTATTATTGAAGCAGTTTCTTTCCAGAGTCAACCTCTCTCTTACACACTGCTGATGAACCCTAGTGGCCTTTTCCACATGGACCAAGAGACTGGCGAGCTCACTTTGACTCATGCAGTGGACTACGAGAGCGAGCATCACCTCTATCATTTTTTAGTAAAGGCTATGGAAACAGAGAGCTTGCTCAGCAGTGTAACTGAGGTAGAGTCAGGATCTTCCTTTCTACACCTAGTGATACTAACTATTGCATCCTGTGGAATATTTACAAGCTTATGTTGGAGATAACACCAAATGTGGAGTATAACCGGCAACATTTTAAAACTGCCCAGCAAAGATAAACAGAAATCTGCTGAAAAGCAACCAATTAGAACTCACAGGTTAAGAACAGTGGTGATAAGAGAGACACAGTTAGCACAAGAATAGCCGTGAGTGATACCAGTTTTCACCCTTCACATTTTATTTCTTGATGTATTGAGAGTCAGAAACTCTTGGAGAAGTACTGCAAATTGCTCAGCGATCTGTCTGTAGATGAGGATCTGCCTTCTGCCTGTCCCTGAAGAAAAGAATTGTCTTAAATTGTATTGGATCTAATCTTTCTGACCATACTGACAACTTGCCCTGCTTCAAAGCATAAATCAACTTTGGTGTTTCCTTTTGAATCAGAAAAGTGGAGTATAGTTTTTCTAATGTATGAAATAAAAGAGTTCTCTATTTAAAAGAACTGTGCCACACATAGTTCATTCAGTTGTGGAAATCGATCAAGGCTCCTTTTGATTTTCTGTTTAAAAACAAGGTCTGAGATTCCCCCCCCCCCTTCTGTTCTATGCAGGTCATCGTTCATATCACAGATGAAAATGACTGCTGTCCAGAATTTCAGGAATCTATTTATAGTCGAGAAAATATTCTTGAATCAGTCCCTGTGGGGACATCATTACTGCAAGGTAAAGGGAAAAAAAAGGGATTCCATCTCTTTCTTTGTATAACATTGCATGTTGAGACTGTTGCTTTTTCAAAATAGTTACCATTCAGTTTAAGCAGCTTATGTGGGAAGACGTTGCGTGTAGGTTATGCTCTAGATATGGAACCCTACACAGTTGCAGTTTTTTGATGCCACTCTTAATTGTCACAGCTCCACCCTAAGAAATCCTGGGACTTTCGTTGTATTAGTTACTTCAGAATTTTTTAGAGAGCTGTTCTTGCACAGTCCAGTATACTGCAGCAGAGATTCTAGTATACGGCAGCACATTATGTACAGTGCCTCATCAGACTATGAATTCCAAGATTCCTTTGGATGCTCCTGCATTAAACTAATTAGAACAGATCTGTCATCTATCTGTAGGGGAATCTCCCCGTGCTTATACGAAAGAAAAGGCCTTCTCTGTGGTGGTGCTGTCATTTTGGAAACCTTTCAACCGAGATAACACGTGGTACTGACACAATATTTCTTTCGATACCTGTTGGAACTTTTATTATTTCCCTAATTATTTAAAGTGAATGTAATTTCAGCTGGTTGTAAGATGTCATTCCTTTCAATTTTATTAAACTACCCTTTAGTGTTTTTTAATTAATTGAATTATTCATATGTACCATTATGAAATTCATTTTTAAATAAGTGTATGTTGTATAAATTCTTGAGACAAATGGGCAAAGGATAGAATTCTATGCTTTAGGCAAATTGATGAATTTTGCTTATAAGAATATTTCAAGGTTTGTTTTTTGTTTTTTTTAAAGTTCCTGCTTTGGTGAAACATTTTGAAGAGTTACATAGAAAGCAAAAATACTTAATAGGGCTAGCGAATTTTCTGTTTGGCATAAGCCAGGTGATCAGCAGATGAGAAGTTGCCATTCAGTTTCCCACATAAAAAAATTTCAGGGCAAGTTTTAAACTCCCCACTTGATGAAGCCTCCTTAGAGCTTCAAGGGGAACCAAAAAAAATAAAAATAACCCCCCCCAAAAAAACACAACCTTGAATAAGGTATGTCAAGCTTGCAAATATCGTCTCTTTTCATAATTCTGTGGCAAGTAATTTCAGACTAAAATAGATTGTGCCAGTTTAAAAATATTGTAGTGTAACCTAACAAAATGCTGATGTTTGGCATTCTGGCTAGTATGCTGTGACTGCTTCCAAGATCCTATATGGTGGCTGTATATGGTTATACATACATAAAAGGGTTAAGTATCTCAGCTCACTACCACCTTACCTCCAAGGGAAGGCAACTTGTGGCCTTCCAGATACTTTTTTTTGGAATACATCTTCCATCAGCAATATCTGACATAGCCACTTGTGAGGCGTTATGGGAGCTGCAATCCAAAAACATACAGGGACCAAACTTGCCCACTTTTTGTTTTTCATTCTGTTTAAGTTTGCAACACTTTGTGACCCCTCAGCGTGTTAAGTTCTCATTGGGCTGTTCTGAACTGCAGCCATTTTAGTTTCTATAAATCTTAGGTTGTTCTGCTCACCAGTCTCCCAACTGTAGAAATAATGACCTTTTTCTGGGGGTGGTCCTTTTAAATTTCCAGATGTATTCTTTATATTTATGTTTCCATTAATTTCATTTCCCCCCTAATACTTCATTTATTCCCAGTAAACTTTTATTTTAAAAATCAGAGTACTAGTTCAATCTGAAACCATAATTAAGATTTTCAATTGCATATGTTGTGCCCAAGAGTGGTTTTTTTTAAAGTTCCTTTTCATGGTGAAGAGCTTATCTTTCCATTAAAAAATGTTACTGTTTTCTGCTGTCAAATAGCTTTGAAAGGTCTTATTCTTCACAATTGTTGAGGTATTGAAACTGAAAATATGTTTTCTTTTATGCAGACAATCAATTTTTTCTAGGTTTCTCCCTTTTCCTTCTACCATCAGCTTTTCTTAGGATTATATTAATTTCTAGCAAGCCTTGCTTTTTCATGAAATGTCCAAGAAACGTTGATTACATCAGCACATGATGAAAGTTCATTCTGGAAGCTTTTGTTTATCCTTCCCATTTGAGTAAATTTGCCTGATGATCATAATGATATTTCCCCTTTTTTATTGTGTTCCTGAGTTTTGGACACCTCTGGATTTACTGTATTTCCCTTAATACCTTCAATGAGTGCTTATTGTTGATTGCATACTTAATTGCATAGGGCATTGTGAAAGAATAAATGTTTGTTCTTTAGATTAAAGCCCTCCTATAGTTCCAGGGTGTGTTTTCATGCTGTGAAGCTTCTTCCTTTGGTAGTAAATAATATTATTTAATATTTAACTTAGTTACCCTCTCATTACCTGTCCCTAAATAATTCAGCTAGCTAATTCAATTTATTTCTGTCACTGTTATTTTCTTTTTGTGTGTCAGGATAGGTATTTTTATTACTGAAGCAGGTACATAATGAAAGTTGACATGCCTTGTTTGTTACATTGCAAACTATTCTTTTTGTCATTTTGACTTTCTCTTTTTAATGTTGCTTGCTTCAGTACTTGCAACAGACTGTGACTCTGGCTCCAACTCCGAGATTGTCTATTTCATTCAGAGTGCGGATTTTTCCATCACGCCTGAGGGCACCATCAATTCAAACCAGCGACTGAACTTTGAGCGATCAAACCACATGTATGAGTTTGTGGTCATTGCTGTTGACAGAGGGCATCCTCCTCGGACAGGGACTGCATCAGTGCGCATTCGCATGGCAAATGTGAATGATGAAGCCCCTGTGTTCTCCCAGTCGGTGTAAGCAAAGCTTCGTCTATTGTTAATGGCCACCATTTAGTCATTCATATTGATTATGCATATAGCTGATTTGTTGACAAGACTGATTATGCTATTAGTACCAGCTGTAGCCATGTGAACAGTTGTCTAAATCATGTTTGCGTGTTTTTTAAAATACGTGGCTATTTGCTGGTGTGTATTTTTCAAATACATGAAAGGTTTTATGCATATTTTCTTTCTCAGAGGCCTGCAGATATATATGAAGTTTGTAGGCAAAGTGCATGCCTTTTCAATACCAGGTGCAAAACAGGTATTTCTGTAGGGGAATAAACCTAGCAATTTTATTTTCTATCCCTAGTGACATTTACCTACCACTATGCCATAGTGCATGTTACAAAATACAGAAAATATTGTGCCATTATGTGATGGACATGAGCCATTAGTGAACAAATTCTGTTTAAATATGCTGAACATGTTGCCTGTCAAACCTCTGTAATAAGTTTTAATTGTGTCTTATAAGAGAATGCATTCCTTTTTGTTTCTTAAAACCAGAAAATATGTTTTATTTATCTAGTATTCCACAAATGCAATATTTTTTTTTGCTGGATGCAAAAATGCAATTGCAGTATTGCATAAAAATCACAATATAAGCCTGAATTCTGGACTGAGGATCCATTTCTTAGCGTGGGAAAGTGGTTATCTATTTCATTACCAGCAGTTACTCTTTGATAGGGCAAGGTTAGATAGATGATAGGAAATGCTGTTTACCTGAACAACATCTCCCAGAATCCATACTGACTCTTGTATTACTGTTGTATTCTGGGAATTGTTGGTCAAAAAACAAATGTTTCCTATCCCTTGGTGAGATAGTTTCATGACAGGTTTCAAAGGTTACTTGCTTTATGAGGAGCTGTTGCTTCGGAAAAGCTGTTTAGTCACAAAGTTATGGAAAACCATTCAGTCATGAAGACTGAATAGAGCAAGTTGCCTGGGCAATTTATCTATTTAACCAATATTGTCTTCTCTGAGTGGCACAGCATGACTTAACAGTCTCAGGCAGCAGGTTTTTTCCTTTGCCCTCTACCTGATCATTTTAACTGGACATGCTAAGGATGGAATTGACTACATGCAAGTATGTGGTCTTCAGTTGAGCCATTGCTCCTTCAGGTTATTTGTTATATTTAAAAAGTTGTGTACAGTGCTGCCTCACATAGCGACGATAATCGGTGCAGCAAAAATTGCTGCAAAGCTATTTCGTCGCTATGCGATATTAAAAAGCCCATAGGAATTCATTGAAACCCCTTCAATACGTTCCTATGGGCTTCAGACTCACCTTTAAGTGAAAATCCTCCATACAGCGGCCATTTTCGCTGCCCGGTAAGCGAGGAATCTGTCCCAGAAAACAGTGGGTGGCCATTTTTTTACCCAGCGGCCATTTTGGAACCACCAATCAGCTGTTAAAAAATCATCGCTTTGCGATGATCGGTAAGCAAAACAGGGTACCGATCATCGCAAAGCGATTTTTCCCCATTTAAAATATTGCAAGTTAAAAGTTAATCGCTATGCAATTTCATCGTTAAACGGGGCGCCCGTTAAGCGAGGCACCACTGTATATGTAACACTGTTCACAGGAACATTGATCTCCAGGTCAATAATAGAATGTAATTGTTTTTTCTTTGTCTCAGTTACAAAACTTTTCTCTCAGAAGATGCAGGCCCTGGTACGTTAGTAGCCACCATCCATGCAAAAGATCCTGATGGAGATGGAGTGTTGTACTTAATTACTGGTGGTAACGAAGAAGGCAATTTTGAATTGGACAGCCATAAAGGTGGGAACATTTCCTTCTCCTTCTCTTCCCTTCAGATCTACTGCATGCTGGAATATTGTATACATTTCTGATTAAAACAGTCTTCAGATCTACTGCATGCTGGAATCATGCTCAGAATATTGTATACATTTCTGATTAAAACAGTCTTGAAAAGAAGTTACAGAGATAGCTAAAATACAACAAATGGTACCCAGAATAATTAAGGCTGTGGAGTAACTTCTCTGTGAGAAAAGATTAAGGTGGGATCTTTTTTTTTATTTTAGAAAAAAGCATGCAAAAGTGCAGTTGGTGTATAAAATGCATGATGAAAGAAGCTAATGGAGAGGGCTCTTCCTATCCATCGTTTCCACAGTGTGATAGCCCAGGGTTGTCCAGAGGAGAAGTGTGGTGAGAGATTCAAGAAACTAAAAGGAAGCCTTTTTTTACACATGGCAAAATTATGGAATTTGCTATAATTAAAATTAATTCTGCTACCACCAAAATAGTTTGTTAGGTCCACCTCTTTCAAAGGGTTTTAGACAAATTCATGGAAGTCAAAGCTGTTAGTGGTTGCCTATTCTTTATATGGTATATACATCTAGAAAGTAAGCCTCTCAATCCTAGTTGCTAGGGAACACAAGTGGAAGAGTCTTGCTGTCATCATGTCATGTTTTTGAGTTCTCCATAGTTGAACACTTTTAGGATGGAAATATAGGCCTTTGGTGTGGCCTAGCATGGCGATTCCTATGGTCTTGTGCTATGTACACATGTCATATTACAGGTATCTAGGAAATGAAGTACAAAACCCCTGTTGAAAATCTGTCTAGGCTTTTGTATGGTACAGTATATAATTGCAGCTTTACCGACATGCCCTTTGGGCTGCTGATGAACTGAATTATTCTGTGAGGAAATGCTCCTTTCTAGCCAGAAGAAGGAGAAAACCCTTTTGATCCCATGAGATTTGAAAAATATTCTTTGGGGGTTATTATTTCAAAAAACAAAAATTGAAGAGGGTCTGGTTGTTGCTGCCCTTGTGTCCTGGCTTAGTGCTTAAATAGAGACCTTCCAAGGGTCATCTTACTCTCAGCATTCTCCCATGTTCTCTAGCAGAAACTATGGCACTAATAATGTAGAGCTGTCTTTAACTAAGTTCCCCCCCCCATCTACATGGCTGATTCTGATGTTGACAAACTTAGTTCTTTAATTATACTTACAGTTTTAATAGTATATTGAAGTCTTTTCCCGTTTGGTTCTACCACCACCACCCATGTTCTGGGCAACCCTGTCCTGACTCGTGAGTGTTGTTGAGTGCTGTAATCTAACAGACCTGGGGCACATCTGGGAAAAGGAGGCAGGCTGCATTATGGATTCAGCACAGTGCGCTGCCAACATCTGAATATTAAACTATACCTTGCCAAAATTCTGAACAAGTCTTCTTCTGGCATCTCTATATGTGCAATAAAAGAGTTGTGATATTTTCTTTTGTTGTCTATAAATTCACTCTGCATCCCTGCCCAAAAATCTAGGTATCCTTCGTCTTCGCAGAAATCCTCTGCCTAAATTGAAGGGGCCACAGTACATTTTGAACATCTCTGCTATTGACGACAATTCCTCTGGGGGACCAAGATCTCTCAGTAGCTTTGCTGAAGTGATGGTGGGGATTAATGATGTCAACAACAACAAGCCTGTTTTCACAGAGGTGAGCTGATTGGCTGCAAATTTTATGCATAGATTTGCTGGTAATTTGCTGGTCAGTTTTTAACTTGGAGAATGTTATTTTCCCCCTCTCTTTGATGTTGAAAACCTCAAACCAGTAAAACTTTGGTCAGTCATAGGGGACAAATACACCACAGTTTACTCTGCAGTTTGCACAGGAGGTGGCATGGTTAAATTCAATGTACTTTCTGTCAGTTACATGACGGGTGGCTTTTTGTATTGATTCTGCTCACATAATTTTTTTGGTCTCCGGCATATGTAATTGCCTCTATTGGCCCAAAGGGGCATCTGGCAGGTGTATCCTTGGGTGATGTTGATGATGAGACATCTCTTTAAAAAAATATATGGCAAATGGCATAGAGCTGAACTGATATAACAACTGATGTAGTGCTACACTGGAAAAGCACAATCTAGAAAGGCAGACAAGAGGTGTTTACTTGGCTGTGGTTGCATGCCATTGACATTAATAATTAAACAATTATGTGAACAACTCCAATATAGCTGCCACGGGAATTTTAAATCAACACCGCCACCACATTCTTTTTCTGCAGTAAATTGTTCTTCCCTAAATTGGTGGGGATGAATTGTCCACTGCATATTGGGGCCAAATTTAGTGATCTACCATAAGTTGCAACAGCACCCCAAAACAAAATCAAAATTAGACAATTCTTTAAAAGGGTGTGTTTTTTGTTTTTTATGGTGGTTGTTTGGACAAAACAAGACAAAATAAAGTCTTGCACCCTATTGCAAGAGGAAGAAGTGTGTATTAGCTAATCTAGATCAGATATGGCAGGTAAGGCAAGCTTGCAGTTTTAGAAGCTTTCTTCCATGGTAGAAATGGTGTTTTTCATTTTTATTAGCCCCACATAGAAAGGGGTGGATTTCAAGGTGAAAATGGCCAAGCTAGGAAGGCTTCAGCTCCTCTTCCCTATGCATAGTGGTTCTGATTCATGACAGAGATGTATTCACATGTTTTGGAGTAAAATGAGGCTCACCTGCATTGCACATATTGATGTACCAAATGGCTTAGCCCTTTGGTTTCCTGTGCGCTGAATGTTACTTGGTAAGACATTTCTGTAGTTGTTCTACTACAGCCTTCCTCAGCTTCATGCCTTCCATTGGATGTATCGAGTGAGGAATGATGGCATCAAACTAGGGAAGCTTGCTTTGGAAGCCTTGCTAATTGAGTTGCATTTTAGTGTGCATATTACAGTGACAGCACCTGGGTTCTTGAAAATCAGCCCCCGGGCACCTATGTTCTGCGGGTGGAAGCCTATGATGCAGACCTTGGTCTAAATGGAAGAGTGAAGTACAGCCTCATGCACAGAGATGGGGCTTCACCAGGTTTCAGCATTGATCCGGATTCAGGTGAGGACAGCTTTTCTTAGTCCATGAAGTCTAGGAATGAATGGCTAACTCCTGTTGAATCACCAGTGTCTCTTCTGCAAAGCTTGGAAATAAAACATTAAAAGACATACTCTGTAACATGTTGTATTTTGAGTAAATGAAAGTATGATATGGTCCTTTGGAAAGGTAACACAATCACTGGTAATGTCATCAGGTATTTTTTCCCCTAATACATTGAGCAGTGCTTACCTGTTACGTTGCCTGATTTCTTTTGGGGGCAAAAACATGGGAGAGCATTTTGAGAGTCCTTCCCCCAAATTAGGCAATTTTCTTAATATTTTGTGGAGTTTTTTTTAAATGAAAAAGCAAGTAAAAATAACAGGTAAGGCAGTGTGGAAAAGTGTGTACTAAGTGCTGAATGATGTAATTTCTGTTTTAAAACTAAGTAGGTAAAGTAAGTAAAATAATTTAAACTGATTTAAACTAAAGCACTGTTATTTTTTATAAGCAACTTTCCAAGCTCTGCTTATTTCTGACATCACTTGAATGATTTCTGTGTGCATGTTTTTCTTTGCTTGTATTTTATAAACTAATTTAGAAGCACTGCTGAAGTACAGTAGGACCCCCATATCTGCTGGGTATGGAAGCACTGCTGAAGTACAGTAGGACCTCCATATCTGCTGGGTATTGGTTCCAAGCTCCCCCATGAATACTGAAAACCACTGATAATTGTGAACACTATATATTACAGTGTTTGTTACTCTATATATACAGTATAATATTTGTTAGTGTATATATACACTAACAAATATTTATAAAATCATTTCTGGCTCCCCCTAGTAGCCAGTTCTGGCAGTATATATACACTATAATATTTGTATATATACACTAACAAATATTCATAAAATTGTTTCTGGCTCCCCCTAGTAGCCAGTTCTGGTAATACATGTGAACAAAAATTTCTGGATTTTTTTTTCTTTTAATATTTTTAATATTTTCTGACCATGGATAAGCTTTCCAAGCTCTAGAAAACAAGTCTTGATACAGCTGATGATGGTTTGCTTTTTGTCTTATGGCATTGTTTCTGTCTAGGCATTATAACTACATCTCAAAGTTTTGACCGAGAGAAGCAGAGAGAATATACTTTGTCTGTGACTGCTACAGATCAAGCTCAAGAGCCATTGATTGGAGTGTGTCAAATCACAATTTATATTGCTGATGTGAACGACAATGACCCAAAATTTGAAAACAGTCGCTATCAGTGTGAGTAGTGACTGTTGTTTATATTTTGTCAGGAATGATATGAATATGATGTTCGACCTAGAAAGTGTTGGTATAAACTCCATTTCTGGTTACTTCTTATACAGAGTTTACAGGTATGAGCATCAGTTCAGAAACTGATTGTCATTCTGCCATGAGACCTTGCTGCAGATCAACACACAGTTCTACTTATTTTCATCGCGCTTGGTTATGGCTCGCAACTTGTGAGCCTCCAGATATTATATTGCAACTCCTGGCATGCCTCAGCTTTGGATAAATGGGCTGAGATGAGATTGGAACTGAAGTCCAGCAACATCTGGAAGATCACAAGTAGCCCATTACTTTGTTAGACTGAGTGTGGAAGGAAGAGTTTTCAGTGGCACAGTGATCCTGAAAGAAATCAAGGTCTTCTCATCACACCCTTGTCAGTGTTGCACCCAGCACAGCACTTTATAAGATGTTGTTGTTGTTGTTTTGTGTGATAATAATACCATGATAGTGGAAAATGATCTCCTGCTACAAAGGCAGTCCGCCTCTGAGAACCTTGTTCTGGGGACAAACAACAAGGAGACACTGTTTTTTATAAGATGTTGTTGTTGTTTTGTGTGATAACAATACCATGATAGTGGAAAATGATCTCCCGCTACAAAGGCAGTCCACCTCTGGGGACAAACAACAAGGAGACACTGTTAAGAAGTTGTCTTTATGTAGAGTTGAACTGTTAGTCCATGTAAGCCAGCATTTCCCACAGTGAGCATTTACCTAGCATTTCAATGGTTAGCCTTTTCTTGACATACCTACAGACACTGGGGATTGGCCCTGGTACCTTCTGCTCAGAAAGCCTGCACTTATCTACTTAGCTGTCATCAGAATGCTGGGCAAAAGAGACCTGTAGTTTAATCCACCAAAAACGTTTTTTTATGTTCTTCTGCATAAAGACATCGGCTGACATGAACAGTTAGGCCAGGAAACATGGTAAACATTGCCATGTCAGTGAAGAAAACAAGGCAATAGAGCCTATCACTTGACTAGGGCAGAACGGGCTCAGAAGAAACTCTGTATTTCTTTTTCCAAAGACTTTCTCCGTGAAGATACACCGTTGGGAACAAGTTTCCTGATAGAGCCTATCACTTGACTAGGCTCAGAAGAAACTCTGTATTTCTTTTTCCAAAGACTTTCTCCGTGAAGATACACCGTTGGGAACAAGTTTCCTCTGTGTTGCCGCTCATGATGATGATCAAGGGGTGAATGCTGCCATCACTTACTCCATGCTGCCACAGGAGCCAGAGTACTTCAAGATCAACCCCAACACAGGATGGATATTTGTCAGTCATGTCATCTCTCAGGTATCTCTTTTGTTTATATTGCAGCATTGGAGAAAGGGAGTTCTGAAATATCTGCCAGATCTGCTTTGGCAGTCTGTTCTAGTAAATTATGTGATGATTTTAGGCATTATATAGTTACATTTGGTGACTCTTTTCCATGTTACCTCCACAAATGATGTGGTGATTTTAGCCATTATATACAGTAGTTATATTTGGTGACTCTTTTCCATGTTACCTCCATCATAGAAATGATAGAGATGGTATTTTTAGATTTTGGCAGTCTTTGTGTTATGGAGCTGCTCCCTCTCCTTTGTAATTGTAATTTCCTTAGATATCCAGACTGAATCTGTTTGATGCAAGATTGTTATTATCTCAACAGAAGTGATAGAGATGGTATTTTTAGTTTTTGGCAGTCTTTGTGTTATGGATGCATGACAGGCTTCAGGAGCTGCTCCCTCTCCTTGGTAATAGTAAATTCCTTAGAAATCCAGACTGAATCGGTTTGATGCAAGATTGTTATTATCTCAACAGTTTCGACCATAACCTTTTGCTTTAAAGTGAAAGACTTTCCTTTTGGGGTATCCAGTGTTCAGAGGCTGATGAATGGCTGTTGCAAATTGTTTTGCAGACATTTCAGAGAAGTAGTTACATCACAGCAACTGATGGAGGAAATCGGAGCACCACTGTGGAACTCATAGTGACCGTTACTGATGTGCTCAATCAGGCGCCACAGTGGGAGAAAAGTGCATATTGGGTCACGGTCACAGAGAGCGTTGCCCGTGACACCAAGATAGTGGTATGCTATGACTTTTAAAAGCATCTTACCGACATCTTAGGTGATGTGTTTATATTTTTGTTATTGGGAGAAGGAACAGATTATAAGTAACTTACTTTTGATTTATTTCCAAGCTCTGGTGGTCATTAACCAGAAACAAGATTTTTTTTTCTATTGGCTGTTTATGCTAATAATATAAACTGAAAATTTGCTTTCGTTGGGATGTGTAATTCAGGTGCATCTCCCCTCATGGATTTTGGGTTGCTTCTGTTCTTCTCCAGACTATCAAAGCCACATCCCCTCTTGCTGATGCACGGGTTATATATCACCTAGAGGAAGGGCAAGTTCCTGAAACAAACATGCCTGTCCGTTTCTACCTCAAACCAAACAGGGCGGATGGATCTGCTTCACTTCTAGTTGCCGAACCCCTTGACTTTGAGACCACCAAGTTCTTCACATTAAGCATCAAAGCTCAGAATGTGGCACCAGTTCCCGTGGCATCCTTCACCACTGTTTGTGTTAATATAACAGGTTGGTTCTTCAAATTATTTATATATTATGTGTGTGGTAAAGATAAAGGTAAAGGTTCCCCTTGACAATTTTTGTCCAGTCGTGTTCGACTCTAGGGGGTGGTGCTCATCACCGTTTCCAAGCCACAGAGCCAGCGTTTTGCCCGAAGACAATCTTCCGTGGTCACATAGCCAGTGCGACTCAGACACCTGTCGCTGTTACCTTCCCACCGAGGTGGTCCCTATTTATCTACTTGCATTTGCATGCTCTCGAACCGCTAGGTTGGCGGGAGCTGGGACAAGCGACGGGACCTCACTCCGTCGCGTGGATTTGATCTTATGACTGCTTGGTCTTCTGACCCTGCAGCACAGGCTTCTGCGGTTTAGCCCGCAGCGCCACCACATCCTTGCTTGTGGAAGTTCTTCAAATGTTCATTATTAGGATATGATACGATTCTCAGAATCCACCAGCTGACAGGACACAGAACACTGAATGTAGTTTTGTTCCTGTGTTTCAGCAATAGTGTATTTGGAAGAGCAGGGTTTGATTGTGGGTTCAAATGGCTTTTATGGTTGCAGGGAGTATCGCATGAAGTATAGGGTGGGTTAGTTTATACAGGTAGACATAATGACATTCTGTGTATCAGTTTTGTAGATAGTACATGTGAAGTAGAGTAAAAAGAGTAAGGGAAACGTATTCTTCTCGTGCCATAATATTAAAACTTAAAACATGTTTGATGTCAAGGTCTTCATTTTGCTAGATATGTCCTTTCTTTCATAGATGTCAATGACAATGTCCCATTCTTCACGTCTTCTACTTATGAGGTTTCTGTACCTGAAGGAGCAGAAATTGGTACCTCTGTTGTGCAAGTTCTCGCTAGTGATTCAGACTCGGGACTCCATGGAGAGGTAAGTTTGGTTGAACCAGTTGGAAACCATGAGTTTAGCATTATTGAACTGAATTTATAAGTAACTCAAAAATACCATTGGACCAATGAAGAAAAAAACCTCTCTAAAATGGTGGATTTAAAAAAATGATTTTTTTAAAAAAATGAAAGAAAACCCAAGATCAACAAGGTGTTATTCTGCTTTCTTATACCTCATGTGTTCAGGTTGTGTTCCTGTTTCCTCATCTGAATGATGATGTTTTTCTAGGTTATGAATAAAAAAAATCAAGAATTATCAGGCATAAATCTCAGACTGAATGTTCTTCCATTGCAGGTCAGCTATTCAGTATTGAAGGATCCTAGTGGAGATTATCAGTACTTCACTATTGATTCCAAATCTGGAGTCATTTCCACCCAGGTGTCTTTTGACAGAGAAAAAAGAGGATCATACTTGATTGAAGTTCAGTCTCAGGATTCTTCTGAATCAGCCAGGCCTGGTATATATGGGCAACCAAACACAGGTAACATTTCTGTTCTGAAAATGAAGAGATAATTCATGAACCAACTAAACCTAGATTTAAACTCCATGGATGCACTCAGATTCCTGCATGGGCAGAAGCAATTATGGGACATGTGTACTACATCATCAAGCCTATAAGTGAGAAGCAATTTTTTGGCAGTGAGGAAATTTTGCTTATTGTGCCATTTTTTTTATTTTTGCTGGATCTTGAGCTGAACGACTTGCTGCATTAAGCATGCAGCTGAAAACTGCCTTTTAAAAATTAATAAGCATATGTGGCCACAATCTTAATTAAGATTTAAACCTTCCCTTCACTTGGTCTTTAGCTATGAAAAGTTATTGTGAACCGCATAGAGGTTAAAAGAAGATGAAGAAGTTCCATTGGCACCAATGTAATCCCCTGCCCCTTTTGTTAATTCCCGTGATGGGTTTGAATTTTTAGATAAAAATCAGAAGCATTAAAGTGTCCTGTCTATTAGATGGTCTGGAGTCAGATTCAGTTGTATATGCCTACTGTACAGTACAGACTGGAAACATTACCATTAGAAATGTGGTTTGTTTGTTTTTAGATACAGCCTATGTGAGGATACTTATTAGTGATGTAAATGACAATGCTCCCATGTTCTCACGTTCACTGTATGAAATAAATGTAGATGAAGACATGGATGTTGGATATGTGGTACTTATACCGACTGCTAGTGATAAAGATGAAGGTAGGAACACACAAGTTTTTTAAAGGTATTGTGAACAATCTTAGCAAAGCAGCAACTGTGGTTTAGATGCAGTGGTAAAAATGTGGAGAGTAACATTCTTATTTTAGGGGCAGAACAGGTTTGAATATCTCAGACATAATAGCACATTAGATGATACTTGCCAGATACTAGACAAATAGGTGCAAAGGTTAAGAAATTACGAATTAAAAAAAACTTGAAGCATTTTTGAAAAGCTTGTTTCTTGTTCAGTTTGCTCTGAGGTCTGAATGAGGTGATTGTGGTGGAGAAGATTTCATACCTTCCTGCTTTCTATGACTGTGTTACAACCAATTCTTTAAAGATAGCCTATTGTTAGAAAAGAAAATTCCTTAACTGTTAAAAACATCTGATTATCACATCTCATGTAGTTTGACTGATTAGCTTACTTTGTTTTATGATGGGTCTTCTGAACATAAACATAGGCTTTACTTGCAAGTCTGATTCCATGAGGCTGATTCGACAAAGGTCTGCCAAAATCACATCTCTGAAATTACATTAGTGTTTCAGTTAGAATGATGACTTATTTGTAATGTATAATTAGCCCTCTCTCTCCCAACTTCTTCTCTCATATATATACACTGGAATATTGTAACACCAAACACCAATGTTGTTATTACATCTGGAACAACAATGCTACGTCCTAGGGCAGGAGTGAGCAAATTTGTCTGTGGAGCCTAAATGCAGCCACCTAACACTCCCATGCCCTTAGTATCCATACACGTCTCAACTTTTTAAAATATGTACAGGTTTAAAAATTGACTCCAGAGGTCCTCTTGTGCTGTCTAGGAAGTGAGGGAGGCTATTTTCCCTGTTTAGGCCTGTTCCAGCTCCCTTGTCCCATATTGTTATTTAAATATATTTCTTTGACCACTAGAGCACATGGGGACATTTTTCAATTTTTAAAAGTTTTTAAAATATTTTAGGAGTGAATGGGATGCTGGAATGGAATGTGCCACTTAAGGTCCAAGGGGTGTGCATTATGTTTCTCAAGCTTCTGGAGTTGTCTACTGCAACATAGGTTTTTTTGGTCTTACTGTATTTTGTTTCCAAGTTGAGAACCTTGTTCACCGCTGTGACATTGTTAAGATCTGTTATTTCTAGGAGAGCTAGAGAAGAGCTACTACCAAGGCAGTTCCACACACACTGCCCAAAACCAGATGCATCCTCTTTACTACAAGTAGGAACAGAAGAAGCAAAGTACTGTATATGGCATATGAAGAATTGGAAGATGCTATTGTTGAGTAGTGAGGATGATTTGGGTGCCTCATCCCACAGGACTGCTTGTGGCAGAATGTGGAGGATCTGTGAAACTCAACATATTTGATACAGTACTAAAGTAGCTTTGTTGTCCTTCCACAAGCAAGCAAAGACCTTTCAGGCAGGCTTTTTCTTAGGGACAGTCTGAGATTCTGTCTATATTTCTCAAAAAAAAAAACCACCCCACAATATGTAAAATTTTAATTTTAACCAACTCATGTGGTCTTCAAGGTGTTTGAATTGCTGAGTAATTGAAATGCTCCCTTTTAGAACTGCCTTTAATGTTCACAATGGCTTAAGTTAGTTAAGAAAACAGTGTGCTAATATAAACAATGCTCTGGTGGCTGTTTATCTTAACTTGCTTCCTAAGAAAATAATGCAATAGAGGAAAATAAATGTCTTTTGGAATTCATTGTGTGAACATGAAACTCAGCGTAATTTTTAACGCAGGTAAAATCCCTTTTTTTTCTTCTCAGAGGAAAATAAATGTGTTTTGGAATTCATTGTGTGAACATGAATTATGGTGGTTAACACAGTCTTTTATCTAGGAAAGAGAACTGAGCTCCTGTGTGGTAAAAGTAATTTTTAACGCAGGTAAAATCCCTTTTTTTTCTTCTTCTTCTTTTTTTTTTGCTGTGTGATCAATCAGGCTCTGAGAATTATGGTGGTTAACACAGTATTTTATCTAAGAAAGAGAACTGAGCTCCTGTGTGGTAAAAGGGAGAGTATCATATCAACCATGTTGGTTTTTTCTTTTTAGGATCTAATGCCAAGCTAAGATATCAGATCACTTCAGGAAATGACCGAGGAGATTTCTATGTAGAGCCTGAGAAGGGCACTATTCTGATTGCCCAGAATCTTGACTACGAACAAGAGCAGCTTTATGAACTCCAGTTAGTAGCTTCTGACGGGAAATGGGAGAACCACACTCTGATTATTATCAATGTACTTAATAAGAACGATGAAGCACCTGTTTTCTCTCAGGATGAATACCATGGCAGTGTCTTGGAAGAGCTTGTTAATTTGCCTGTAGTTGTTTTACAGGTAAGCCCCATAAATTTGGCTTTTAATTTATTGTTATTTATTTATTTTTTAAATTTATACCTCGCCCATCTAGACCGAAGTCTACTCTGGGCAGCTAACAATAATAGTAATTCTAAAAACAATTAATAAAATAAAAAACAACAGTAATAATATAATTCAAGATGGGAAAAATAATCAGGTGATGACAGGAGGGAAAGCCTGCCTAAAGAGACAGGTCTTAAGTTTGCTCTTAAAAACACCTAGCGAGGGAGCCAGACAGATCTCTGGAGGCAGACTGTTGCAAAGGAGAGGGGCCACTGCCGAGAAGTCCTGGTTTCTTGTTCTTTCTCTCCCTTGGCGTTAGGCCCCTCAGCTGCCCTTCCTGGCTAGAATGAGTGATTCAGGTAGATCTAAGTGGGAGGAGGCATTCTGCTAGTTATGTGTGGAATAATAACGGCGAGCAGTGGAAATTTCTAGGATGCAATTGCTTACCCATCGATTCAGTTTCCTTGGCTGGGGTCTCCAGAGATAGATTGTAATTGTGTAACACAAGGTTTATTTACAGACATGTGCTGGTCAAGCATAAGATGTGGATTCATAGCATTTATGTATACTGTATATGTTACGTGCCATTGTCATATATGTTACGTGCCATTCTGCCATTGTCAGAATTGGCAAATAGCAACTCGAACAGAGCTTTCAAGGTGAGATAGGCAAGGAGTGGCTTTATCAGTTCTCTACACCCTCACAAGTTTCCGAAGCTGAGTGGTCATTTGAGCCCTAGTCCATCACACTATCCATTACAACACACCGGGTACATAGAGCATTAATTCTCTAACACAGCCATTCTCAACAGGGGCCCTGGCATATTTGAAAGAGGCCATAGACTGGACACAATTCTTCACACCACCATTATGTGACATATACAACCACTATTCGTCCCATATTTCTTTCATATTATATTAATTGCATAGACAAAAAAAAAGTGTTCAGAATGGCTGCTCTAACAGAGGTTTACTCCCAATCATATGTCCAAGGTTTACTCCCAATCATGTGTCCAAGAAAATCCACAGCACTACAAGATTTTGTGCAGAAAGTAAAGTTAGCTCTCTGCTTCCTTTCCTGACTCAGGTGCAACATACATTGAAAGAATGGCCACAGTTACTTTTGTTGAGTACCAGGTTAAGGAAGGCTAGACATCTTAAAGTAGTTCCACACGTTAAAGACTTCCAGGCGCATATACATAAAAATAACATTAAAACAGTTTAGGACCTCGATAACTGACAGAGCGCTTGTTCCCACCTAGCTCTACCTGTGTCACTCGTTCTAGCCAGGCTGGGTGGCTGAGGGGCTTGACCCCAAGAGAGGCCCGGAAGGAGAGAACTAGAAACCGGGCCTTCTCAGTGGTGGCCCCTCACTTCTGGAATACCTTGCCCCTGAAGATTTGCCTGGCACCCTCGCTGAGAGTTTTAAGAACAAGCTGAAGACTCGGTTCTTCAGGCAAGCCTTCCCCCCTTCCATTTCTTAATTCCCTATGTCTTACCATCTTGGACCATTCTATGTTGTTTGATATTGTTTGTTTCAAATTTTGTTTGTAAGCCACCTAGAGTAGATTTATTGAATCTCTGTGGGCGGGGTAAAAGTTGGAAAAATAAATAAATAAAAAGTATCTGGCACACCAAGGTACTGTAAAACCAGAGTACAGCAGCTACAGAAACTCCCGGTTATTTGACTTCCAGGTGCTGTCTCCAGTAATATTAACACATTGCAGCATAAACACGTTTAAATGTCAGCCATGATTGAGAAAAATTACTTCAGAAATCAAGGTTATTGTACAACGACCTTGCTTCCAGACTTGGTTGGAGAGCTGGCTGATTGTTTTGTAGCTACTATTAAACTTCTGTTAAATCTCATTTTAAGAGTACAACATACATTTTCAGGGCTGTCTTTTCAATACTCCCTTAATTGTTTTAACACTCTCTCTATATATAACATTTCACATCTTGACAGCAGCATTTTTACATGTGCAGCTGATGTCTCTCCTTGCTTCTAGGTTTCTGCAGCTGATCCTGACCAGGAAGCTAACCAGAGCACTCTTCGCTACTCATTACATGGACAGGGTGCGCAAAATGAGTTCAGTATCAATGAATACACAGGACAGATAACTGCGAATAAGAAATTGGATCGAGAGAAACGATCTGTATGGCGCTTCCTTGTTCTTGCCACTGATGAGGATGGTGAAGGTCTAACTGGTTTTGCTGACGTTATCATAGATGTGGCAGATGTGAATGACAATTCACCTCTTTTTCTTTGTACTTCGGATGGTTGCTTCATGGGGCAAATCCCTGAAGATGCTCCTGCTGATTCAGCTGTCATGGAGATGCTGGCAGTAGACCTTGATGACCCCAGAGCTGGAAGGAATGCTGTTTTAACCTACAGTATTATTCAGAACGTCCAAAATGAAATTAACCTCAACTTGTTCTCAGTGAATCCAGCTAGCGGCACCATCTACACAGTGTTGGGATCCTTAGATAGGGAGAAAGAAGACAGGTACATGGTGGTGGTCAAGGCAAAGGACGGAGGGGGTCTTACTGGAACAGGGACTGCCACCATTTTAGTGACAGACGTCAATGACCATGCCCCAGCCTTCACCAAAAAGATTTATACAGCCTTTGCTTCTGAGAGTGCAGGCCTCAATGCTGAGATTGCGGAAGTATCTGCCACTGATGAAGATGAAGGAGGAAATGCTGTTGTGACTTTCAGCATCTTGGATGGTGATGATGACCGCAAGTTTTACATTGAGACAGATAAAGCTAATAAGCGTGGTGTGATTCGGCTGCGGAAACGGATAGACTTTGAGAAGCCCCACGAGAGGGTGTTCAACTTGACAGTGAAAGCAGAAGATCTGGATTTTTTCAGCATAGCTCATTGTGTTATCTATGTGGAGGACTTCAATGACCATGCTCCTCTCTTCTATCCACAATTCTACGAAGTAGCAGGCCTGGCTGAAGATGTTCCCCTTGGTACTAAAGTTGTCCAGGTGATTGCTGTCGATTTAGATTCTGGGTTGAATGGAAGGTTCTCTTACCACCTGCTAAACAAGTCAGACCCAACTGGAAGATTCTCCGTGGTTAATGATGGCTGGATCATAGTAGCAGGATTGTTGGATTATGAGATGGTAGCACAGTATCAGCTTGTGGTCATTGCTACCGATATGGGACAGCCACCTCTGAGTGGTAGCGCCACTGTTCTGGTAGCTCTTCAGGACGTCAATGATAATGGACCTGAGTTTGAGGCTCAGTACAACCCAGTTGTTTGGGAAAACACTCCTTCTCCTCAGGTTGTCCAGATGAATGACACATCAACGTTGTTGTATGCTAAAGACAGAGACAGCCCGGCAAATGGGCCTCCATTTTCTTTCCACTTACTGAGTGACTTTGGCAGTGTGACATACTTTAATTTGCAAGACTTCCACAATGGAAGTGCTATGCTGACAGCATTGCATACATTTGACAGGGAGGTGCATAAGGCATTTGATCTAAAAATTCTGATTGCTGACAGCGGGAACCCTCCCATGAGCTCAACCAACACATTAACGGTGAATATTGGGGACCGAAATGACCATCCTCATTCAGCTGGCTTCATGGAATGCCTCATCTACAGTTACAGTGGTAAGCCATTAGAGATGAAGGTAGCTTGCCTGTTTCCATGCCAAAATGTAGGTACCTTCATAATAGTAGATTGCCTACTTAACTCAGTACTTTGCCTTATTCTAACCGGCTCTCCCTTGGGTTTCTGGCAGAAAGGTCTTTACCACCGCAAGCCATCTGATGCTTTTTAAACTAGAGATGCAGGAGTAAAATTGGGGTGGTCTTCATTCCCCTGCATGGGTTCTGTTGTAGAATATTCATGGCCATTATTTAGATTATATTTCCCTAATTCTTTTTATGGGCAGTTTGGGTACAACATTCCTGGATCTGTGGGGACAACTAGGTGCATACAGAGATATTTTTGGTGGTTGCCTCCACATCTTGCTCTCCAGAGGTACTGGATTGTAAATTTGAACTAATTTGGGGGATAAAAGGGAATAAAAGTATAGAACGTTGGGTGAATTAAATGTATTCCAAGTTATATTCTGGGGAATGTAAAACAATTTACCAACCTCTAAGGATCTTTCCTACAAACCACACAGTAATCTAATTTCTGTCTTTATTTTAGATACCTGTATATTGCTAACAGTTCTACAACTCTCTAAAAGTGGTTCAGTTCACACAGTATTATAATCGACAATTAAATCCAGTGCTAAAAATAAAATGAAAGAATATAAATCTAAAACCAACTATGTAACAATAAAAGCAGCAAGCAAAATACTTGTGTGGTTCCCCCCTCCCAAAAAAATCTGAAATTATTGTCAAATTGATCAGTAAAATCAAATGTAAATAGCCAGGTCTTTACAAGCCATGCAAAAACACACAAGGGAAGTAACTGAATTTTCTTTGATACACAGTGATGAGGCCACTGTTGAAATCTTCTGCCTTCTGTACCCACCAGACAGTTGTATACATGTAGAATGTCTTCTTGCTTGTCAGAAATTATACATAGTCTTTGTTTATTTTTTCCAGGTATTCTGCCCACAACTGTACTGGGTCAGATTCATGCCCCAGATAATGATGACTGGGATCACAAGACATATCACTTTGAAGGGAAAGCACCCAGGTAAATTTCAATTTTAGTGTTTCTGAAAAAACAACCTCTTAATGTAATTGTTAATGGGCAATTGTTCTGAAAATTCACCCAGTATAATCTTTTAGCAGAGAACACTTTTTCTTTTGCTGTTTATACTTGTTCACTCTGTTGTTTTCAAATAACAAATCAGATTTGTTATTTCCTAAATAATAGAGAAATTTAAATTCTTCTACAGTATTCTTAAAGAGTTAGAACTGTAAAATAGATCTTTACTGAGACTTAGTATATTAGTTTTATAATTCTGTCAGTGATGAATTATGGGAAAATTCAGTAGGCTGCGAAATCAGTGGAATTTATGTAAGTGTTAACTTACTATTTAGCAGTTAAGTCACTGGGTCTACTCTAGTGGGGACTAGCAGTTGAATTTAGCCTTATGTTATTTGCAAGGGAGCTTGCTATGAAAATCACTACAATTGCAGAATTAACTGAAAGGTGTCCTGTTACGCTGTATATAAACCAGGGATAAGCAACTTGCAGCTCCTCAGATGTTGGACTGCAGCCCCTTTAACCATTTTTAGCATGGCCAGTGAGGAAGGAAGGTGGGAATTACAGTCCAACTACATCTCAGCGATTATACATACACTAATAAATGAAATTAGAATCAATGCTGACACTTAAATTATTAAACAGAATAGTATTCAAGAGCCATAGACAACTGAAATGTTAGATGCCTTGGCAGTGGAAAGCTTTAGGATATAGTCTAGCAGGCATGGTTATAATACTAAGGGAAAATGAATAATCAAAGGTAGATTCAGTGGGTCAACGTAGCAATAAAAATTAATGTGAGAATGCATCTGTTATGTCACAGCTTTATGTTTTGATTTGTGAATTTCTTCCAGGCATTTTATCCTCAATGATAATTCTGGCTTATTAAGTATAAAAGAAGGAACTCCTACAGGGACATATGATATAAAAGTGAAAGTTACAGATGGCATCTGGCCTGATGTGGTCTCTACTGTAAAGGTTGTTGTGAAAGAAATCAAAGAAGAAGAAGCTCACAATGCAGGTTCTATCCGAGTAAGAGGTAAAAAATAAATGCTAAATGTCTTCCAGACATCTAATATTGTGTGGTCCCGTGAAGGCTCATCAGCTGATCTCAAGTACAGCATTGTGTTTCAAAGCTTTTATTGAAGATGAATTTCCCAAATGCAATTATATGGAAATATTTGTTTTAATTGCAGATATCACTGCAGAAGATTTTATATATCAGTCATCTGAGAGTGAAAGTAAGTACAGTCAAATGAAGAAGCTGTTCTCAGAAATCATACCAGCCCAACTTGAAAATGTCCACATCTTCAGTGTCTTGAACAGTCCGGGTGAAACACAAGGAGTAGATGTGTGGTTTGCAATTCATGGATCACCCTACTACAAAGCAGAAAAACTTAATGGCAACGTTGCTGTGTCAAAAGCACGGGTATGCAAAACTTTTCAAGCCTTTGCTTTTTCACCATATGGAATTGCAGTTCTAGATAATATCTGTAATATGGCTCCAGTAAAGACATCTGATGGAATCTTCATTCATTTGAGCCTTATTTTAAAAATGAGGGCTTTTCTAAGTACTGTAGTTGAATTGGGAAAATATGATTGTGAAAATGTGGGCTTTTCTAAGTACAGTGGTGCCCTCGCTGTGTGAAAGATCGCTGAGTGGTAGGAAAAAACCCATTGGAACGCATTAAACATGTATATTTCTACATACCCTCTCCACACCCTCTTTCAAATGGCAGCATCTCCAACTCTTGGTGAATGCTACAGAGAGCAGGGGCTGCTGAGTAGTCTGAGTTTGGTGTAGCAGGAAACTGGGTGGGGGAGAACACTTCCCATCAAGTCAGGCAGAGGAGTATTCTGCAACTAGACCACTGGAACAAATGCACAACCCAAGTAACAAAGCAACAGAAAATGAAAAAGCAATCAGAGTCGTGCCCCGCTGGACGATCATCCCACTCTACAACGAATCCGCATTATGTCGACGTTTTTGCGGTGGACCCTGGAACAAATGCACAGCCCAAGTAAGAAAGCCACAGAAAGTGAAAAAGCAATTACAGTCGTGCCCCGCTGGACGATCACCACGCTGTACAACGAATCTGCATTATGTTGACGTTTTTGCGATCGCTTTTGCGACCACAAAACAAAGTTTTAAATGGGGGAATTTTGCTTCACGCCTGTTTCAGGGACTGATTTTTTGCTTTACGATGATCAGCAAACAGCTGATCATCTGTTTTCAAAATGTCCGCCGGCTTTCAAAATGTGCCCCGCTGGACGATCACCACGCTGTACAACGAATCTGCATTATGTTGACGTTTTTGCGATCGCTTTTGCGACCACAAAACAAAGTTTTAAATGGGGGAATTTTGCTTCACGCCTGTTTCAGGGACTGATTTTTTGCTTTACGATGATCAGCAAACAGCTGATCATCTGTTTTCAAAATGTCCGCCGGCTTTCAAAATGGCCCCCCGCTGTTTTCTAGGACAGATTCCTCACTATACAGGCACCGAAAATGGCCGCCGTATGGAGGATCTTCGCTGGACGAGCAGGTATTCAGCCCATTGGAATGCATTAACCAGGTTTTAGTGCATTTCAACATTTGTTTGACGATGTTTTCGCTCCACAGCAATTTCGCTGGAACGAATTAACATCATCAAGCGAGGCACCACTGTAATTGTAAATGCCCATGAGAGTGGGGAAGGAATTTCATTGAACGAGGGCTGTCCTTGGTAAGGATTTACTTTCTAATCAGTACCCATCTTGCTTCAGATTCAGTGAGGCACTGAAAGAAAACCTTCGGAGTGTTTGTACACAAGCAACTTGGGGTGATGGGAGCCCCTAAGTATTTTTAATTAAATTAAGATGGCTTTCTGGAGGCATTGAGTAGAGAACTAGCAAGAAAAGGTGCTTAACCCTTTGATGTCTGCTCTTTCTAAACTCTCTAAAGCCTCTTTACACAGAGCGGTTTTATCCTTGAGGAATTCTAGATGCATGTTTGCCCACATTAAAAATTCTTCAGCAAGTAACGTGAAGTCATTTTGGAAATGGATGAACAGAGAATTCAGTACTTCTCCCTTCATTGTTTCTCCACTCAGAATTCAAATTCCCCTCAAATTACCGTATTTTTCCGTGTATAAAATGACACTTTCCCCTAAAATCATTACAGGGAAAATTGAGGGTCGTTTTATACATGGAAGGATAACGGAGGCGAAGGAGCAGCTGTGCTCGGTCACCTCTCGCGGCTACCCATTGACTGCTGCCGCCGTCTCCAGATCACCTCCTCCAGCGCCACTTGTGGGCTCCCTGCGGGCAGGGAACAAAGCAGTGACATGAGGTGGAGGTGAGCCCCAGCACTGGCGCTGGAGGAGGTGATCAGGCGGCAGTGGCAGCAGCACCACCAGGAAGCGGAGGCGGACAAAGCAGCGACATGACCTGTAGGTGAGCCCCAGCACTGGTGATGGAGGAGGTGATCAGGCGGCAGTGGCAGGAGCACCACCAGGAAGCAGAGGCGCACCCAGCCTGGGCAGCCCCTCGCAGCTGCACATTGACTGTTCCTCTGCCTCCAGCAAGGGTCAAAATTGGGGGTCGTCTTAAACACTGGGGGGGTGTACACATGGAAAAATACGGTACTTCTTTAAACCAAAAACACAAAAAATATGTTCAAGCATTTGGTTTTATGCATTTATGCAAAACAGCAGACTACTGCTTTATTAGCAATTCCTGTTTCATTTATTATTGCTTTGAATTAAAGCACTATGAGGAAGTGTTTGGAGTGCAATTTCGAAGGTACTGGTAATCTTCAACCCAATGTTTTATGTTAGATGTTTTGAGTTCTTTCAAAAAAGAAAAGAAAAGAAAAGAAAACCAGGTGCTAAAAGTTTCATCTTCCCCATAGCTGGAAACAGTCTTGAATATCAACATCACACAGGTTGGCATAGACGAGTGTGTGTCAGCAAACTGCTCTCATAGCACCGGCTGCATCAGCAAAAATGAATTTAGTCCTCTTCCCACAATAACTACTTCTGGAAGTGTCTTGCTGGCCTCTATTACAGTCTTGAGTAGTGCCCAATGTAAGTGTGAACCTCGAGAGAAGAAGCATCGCTCCTGTTCTTCCTACCGGTTAAATCCATGCTATAATGGTGGTACCTGTATGGACACAGACCTGGGTTATAGGTAGGTGAAATGTCTGGGGAACGATCTGATTTCTTTAAAGATATGTTGTTATTATGTGTTGTTAAGTTGAAACTGATTTGTACTGACCCTAACAGGGTTTTCAAGGTGAGATATTTAAAGAGTGGTTTTGCCAGTTCCACTCTCCCAGTCAGTTTCCATCGCCAACCGGAGATTCAACCCTGTTCTCCAGAGTCCAGTGTATCACTCTATCCACTAACCAAAGATTTAAAACAATCATCCCCAACCTACTGCCCTCCAGGTGTTTTGGACTACAACACCCAGAATTCCTGGTTATGATCCATGTTGACTGGAGCTTATGCAAACTGAAATCCAAAATACCTAGAGGGTACCTCATTGATAATCTAATTTCAGAATCAATTATAAAAAATTAAAACAGCAGTAAAATATATATCAACCTTCAAAAATGGTTCAAATCATTTCCTGCACTAATAGGAAACTTCCCAAGTGCTAATATTTTTATAGCCATAATGGTGCCATCTGTCCACAAAATGGAGGTATGAGCTTCCATTTGGGAACCCTGAGATATACAGAAATGTTCTTCCCACCAAAAATCTTAAGAAAATAACCCTCAAAGTTGAAGAAACCTACAAATAGCCCAATGAGGACTGAGCATACTCAGTTTGGTTATAAAACCAGACTGTTGGCAAGAAAAAGAACAAATCTTAGAAGTGTTAAAAAGTAAACTTACTTTTTTTGGAGTTATGAGATCAGTGACAACCAAATCTGTCTCAGAGATCCATGTTATTGTACACAACTTTTTAAGCATGAATCTTTCTCATGTATACACTGTAAGGATGTACATTCTCAAGCTACAGATTTAGGCTGAATATCAGGAAAAACCTCCTGTTAGAGCAGTACTACAAAGGAATCAATTAGCTTGAGAGGTGGGGAGTAGAGATGGGTGGGTATTTGTATTCATATGCAAATATCCCCGCACAGGTGGCGATAATGAGGGTCCGGCCCCCTGGGGCTAGACTGTCCACTCCACCGGCTCCGCGATCCTTCCTATCACTCCGGAGCTTGCAATCGGCAAGCCGCTCCTGGCAGGAGGCAGGACGACAAGCCTCCCTGCCAGGTTGAAGAGTGGCTCGCCGATCGGGAGCTCCGTGGTGATAGGAAGGATTGCAGAGCCAGTGGCAGTGGCGGAATTGTGAGTGGATGGTCATTATCGCAATCTGTGCGGGGATATTCATATACGAATATGAATTCCCCCATCTCTAGTGGTGAGTGCTCCCAACAGTGGAGGCATTCGAGAGAAATTTAGACAACCACCTGACAGATATCGTTTGATTTGTACTCCTGGCTTGAGCAGGGGGTTGGACTTGATGGCCTTATAGCCCCTTCCAACTCTTATTATTCTATGATTCTCAATTGCCTTGTCCTTGCAAGTTGCCTTGTCCTTGCAAGTAAAAATGGGGAACTGCAGACATGGAAGTGCTACATTCTACATTCTACATATTCTTGCCAACAAAAATGAGGCAGAGGTTGTAGGCATGGTCAGTACTCTTCAGTACTTTTGCAGTGGCAGAAGTGATGTATTTATTGCATAAATGTTTCCTGCAAAAGTATACGGTTTGTGTAAAACTAGAACAGTTCGTTGTTTCTTAGACATGTTAGAAGTTGAAACATTGAATTGACTTGCATCTTTCTTACAAATCAACCAGTCCGTCTGTATTTGTTTGCTATATATGTGTTTGCTTTGCTTCTCCAGGGGAAAGAACACTAACTTTGCACACATATGAACACAAATTATAGGGACCTAAAGAAGAAAAAGCTGGTTGTCTAATCCTTGATTGAAGATGAGGAATCTTATGAGTTCTTCAACTGTGTTTATGCGGTGTCTGGTTAGGTTCAGGCAGCCTAAATTGTCAGGGATGAGGAATTTAGGCATATTTTTACCAGCTCTAAAACATGACAAATAAAGCAAGCTTCAAGCTGTTTTTTAAAGACCACTAGATGGCAATGCTGCACTTTGTAGCATAAGATCTCTAGTGCATGGGACCTCTGGCTGATCCTTTGCCTTAACTTCTAGTTACCTTATCTCTTTCCAAACTACCTGTTAAATATAAATAGCATTGCACATGTTAAAGTTGAAAGGAAATTTTCCCTGGTAACGTGTTTTATCTTTTGAACATACATACCGTTTAATTTTTACAGTGATGTATCTCATTGTTTTGCTGGTGGCTATCAGTTATTGTTTTTGGAAACAGCTGTGATGATAAGAGAATCCCGAGCAGTCTTCCATTATATTAAGGAGTTGACATTTAGAAATTATTTGACATGTATGTATCTCTATATGCAAGTTTAGTTACTTATTACATTTACATGTAGGTTCCTCTTGCCCTTAAGGAAACGCTTATTAGGTCCACTAGAAAGAAACCGAGCCTGGTGGCGAACAACATTGGCAATTATAGGCACGTCACCAATGTTTCTTTTCTCAGTAAGGTAGTTGAGAGGGTGGTGGCCGACCAGCTTCAGGCTCTCTTGGTTAAAACCAATGCCCTGGATCCATTTCAGTCGGGCTTCAGGCCGCACCACGGCACAGAAACGGCATTGGTCACCCTGCTGGATGACCTACTTAGGGAGGCCAATAGAGGCAAAATGTCTAAACGATGTGGTACATGTCTAAACGGGGTATGAAACTGGAATAATGTGTCCCATTCATTTGTACAGCTGCAAGTGCCCACCTGCTTTCCATGGGCCTGAATGCCAGCAGACACAGCACACCTTTCGAGGACATGGATATGCCTGGTTCCCACCCATCAAACCATGCTTTGAGAGCCGTATCTCCTTGGATTTCATCACTGAAGTTGGGGATGGCCTTCTGCTATACAATGGACCAGTGGCACATGTGAAGCCAGGAGAAGTGGAAGACTTCATTGCACTAGGTAAAATTTGTACACTTCTTTTTCCAGCATGGGTAGGTGACCCCAAAGTTTTGCTTCTGGGATCCATATTCTTGTACCTTTAAAAAGCTGTGAGGATTTAAAGGATCATCAGAATTTAGAGTAACACCATAAGGGACTTTTTGTGCTGTCGTTAGTCATGCATGCTCACTCATATGTACAGGCACACATTCATGCAAGTGTGAAAGTTACTGCAAACAGTTTTGTATATTTAGAGATTTTCACAAGTACTTTGCACTGTGGCAGGTCTGTATCACTTAAAATAAACTTTTTGGATGTTCTAGTTTTGATATGTGGCTCTAATGTGATTTCCACTACTAATCAGATTTAAACTGGATATTAAGAACTTCTGTGAAGCTAATGCCAATTGTTAATTCATATTTATCTAGCTTTTGTTTATTGTGTATTCCACCTTTCTTTTGCACCTGGCACTAATGGCTTACAATTAAATGGTACAAATACAAGCATCAAAACCAGTGTCCTATTACTAGTCTCAGCTACAAGGTAGAACCTCTGAATCAAGTACTGAATGGTAACTCAGCACTCAGTTGGATTTTCATGAATCAGTGGGGCTACTCCAGTTGGGTCTAGCAGTGAGATAATGGTTCATATTAACGAAAACGTAATGGCCAAAATCATATTAGTTTTTGTGCTGGTCAAAGTCCAGCAATAAATTGTTGTTAATTAACAAGTTGCCACTTATATCCCTTGTGACATGCCAGTTATGTGGCGCTGTGGGCTAAACCGCAGAAGCCTGTGCTGCAGGGTCAGAAGACCAAGCAGTCGTAAGATCGAATCCACGCGACAAAGTGAGCACCCGTCGCTTTGTCCCAGCTCCCGCCAACCTAGCGGTTCGAAAGCATGCAAATCCAAGTAGATAAATAGGGACCACCTCGGTGGGAAGGTAACAGCGTTCCGTGTCTAAGTCGCACTGGCCATGTGACCACGGAAGATTGTCTTCGGACAAAACTCTGGCTCTATGGTTTGGAAACGGGGATGAGCACCGCCCCCTAGAGTCGAACACGACTGGACAAAAATTGTCAAGGGGAACCTTTACCTTTACCTTAAGAGACGTGAGCAGCAACTTACTCCTGGAAATTCACTGCTGCAATTTACTTTGCTGCACTTTTGCCAATGGGATTTTGGTTGATAAACGTAAATCATACTGAAAACATGATGTTATCATAAAAATGCAGCACTCATCAAGTTAAAAGCCATTTCCCCATCAAGTGAGGTTAATTACCAAAAGCCTTTTTGGTTCTAGAAAGATGGAACAGCCTGTTCTTGGTAGGAAGCTCCAAAGCCCAGGAGCAGCACTGAGACCCATAAAGAGTTCTCAGGTTGGGTGGGTGAGAGAAGGATGGTCTTGTCAAAGAGGAAAACCATCCTCTGTGCATGTGTTTTTTCCTTCCTGTTAAACAGAACTCTTAGATGGTGTTCCATCACTGACTTTAAGCCATGGCTCAGGGGCTCTGTTCTTGCAGCTGTCGGAGAAGGTCAATATCGCTGATCGTCGCTGGCATAACTTAAAAATAATAAACGATGGAAAGGCAAGTGTAAGATCTCTCAAAAAACTACTCTTGGGTTTTAGCATCTAGATTTTCTTCGATTAAAAAAGGTTTTATGTGTTTTCCTGTGCAGACAAAAACTAGATGAAGGACAAACCGTTATATTACAAGTAAAATAACATTAGTAAAATAAAATTAGTGATTGAGCCAGGCTTTTGTATCTAAGAAATCAGACCTGCAGAGGAAAATCCTACTTTGTCTTGAAAACCAGTCAGAAAGCAAAGCAAGCTAATTTGCAAATGACAGGAGACTTTAAAAACTCCTGTTGTGACAGTAACAGGCAAGCTGCCTTTAAAGAATAGCACAGACTAACACTGCTACCTATTCTAATGACTAGTTTTTAAATATAAAATACAGTTTCTCTCTCAGAGAGCAGGAACCTGTGATTGTTTCCTGTTTGGGCCCTTATATTTTTTTTCCAGGAGGATAGAATTAATTTGGGGAGTGGGGAACATGAGGAGCTGGCATAAGCCCTACTATCCAGTGTTCCCGTTTCAGAGCCAACAGATACATAGATATATATATGTATAAATATATATTCTACTTTAGAAAGTGCAACTGATCTTGGACCACTGTGTAAATGTCTCCCTTGTGAATAACAACGGTGCCCTACAGGATGTGTCAAAGGTGGATCACTCTACCTGTATGGTTTCTTCTGAAACTCCAGGAAATGAAAGGTAAAAACTAATTTCAGGCTTTAATCTACATTAATCTACAACTAAAGTGTTGGCTTAACTTGAATTGATGGGTCTTCATTTAAATGTGTTTTATTTAATGGCCATAATAAGCAATGTGAGTTAGTGATTTTGTTTAATTGTACCTTTTGATTCTTTCGCCCAATTCAGACGTTTGACAATGGGTTAATTATCAATTGCTTCACTCTTTTGGTTCACCCATACCTTTTTAGGTTAGCATTAAGCATTATGTCTTTACCAGTGCAGCTATAGTTACCACTAACTATAGTTGACTTTTTACTAGATAGTGGAGCCAAGATTGCCCTACCATTGAGCAAAGTGAAGCAACAATTGTAGGAGGCAGCAGCAGAAGCTCCAGGCTATTCCTCTGAGGTTGTTGTGGGTTTTCCAGGTTGTTTGGCCATGTTCTTAAGGTTTTCCTTTCTAATGTTTCGCCAGTCTCTCTGTTAGGAAGAAAAACCTTAAGAACACCGCCAAACAAGCCAGAAAACCCACAACAACCACTGGATTCCTGGCCGTGAAAGCCTTCAAGAATACATTATTCCTCTCACACTTCACAGTATTGGAGGACAGTGCTGTGAGTACCACAGGATGTATGCTGCACCTCATAAACTAGGCTGCTGTGCTAAGATGAGGTATAGTGGAGAACCCTGTTACACTGTCATATCACCAATATGGAAATGAAATTCAACTGCCCGTCCAGTTTGCTTCTGTGTGTTGGAACAGGGAGGAATGTGAGTCATCTTGTCCTTTGCTTCAAGCCAAGACAATATATATATATTTTAGCCCAACCCTGACTGAAAATAGGATTACTAGCTGGGCTTGTTCTATTTCATTTTATTTTTAAAATGAATTTATTGTCATGCTTTTTAGAACTAATGGTAAAGCAATAGTTCACATTAGCCTGAGGAGGGAAGGAGAATTCATATGTGAAGCTGACTCATTTTGCAAACCCCCAGAGTGATTCCTATGATTTAGTGATTTGGCGATGTCTGAGTTGGGACAAGTGGTAGCTTTTGCCAATTAAAATATAAATGAACTAAAACTGACAGCCATTCACCAGAAAAAAGAACAAAAGAAGAAGAAGCTTGAATCTCAAAATGCCAAAATTGAGGTTTCTATTTCACTAATATGTTTTGGCCCTCCATATGATTTGGGGTCTTTCTCAGGGAAGTTTTCAAAGCTTCACAAGATCTCCGTCAGAATTGCAATAACTCCTTGATTATTTGTTCTTGACAGGTATCTCATTAGGTTTTCTAAATTTCGTGAAGAAAAACCTCAGAGCATATGGAGGGCCAAAATGCATTGGCTAAATAAGAATAAAATATACATTCTTTGGCATTCTGAGATTCATTCTCCCCTTTTCTTTCTGTTCAGTTAAAGCCAACATCAAATTTCCATACTTAAGCAAGAATTCTTATTTTGGTTGACAGAAACCCCCAAGTACAAATACAACATAACTTGGTTGAGTGGGGATGCCACCTTTGTCAAAGAATAGACGTTTCCTTTGTTTGGCTTCCACTGTAGGCTTCTAAGATTTTTGCTGTCCATCTCTCTAAGCTCTCTTTTCATTAATAGATTTCTTGATGTCCACCAACCACTCCAATTGGGTGGTGTTAAGAAGGCCCAGCCATACCATACCTCCCAAAAGCATTTCAGAGGATTTATTGGATGTATTCGAAACATTATCATTGACAGCCAGGTGAGATCATTAAGAAGCTGTGCACTATTATCTTATTCCATTCCTTACCTAAAACTAACCATAGCCATTTATCTTGATTATTTTTGTTTATTCTTTTCTACACCCGCTCCACAGGTATACAATCTAGAGCACCCTGCTGAGTCTCTGAACAGTGCGCCAGGATGCTCTCTGACAGATGGACTGTGCCAGAAAGCTGGAGTATCCTCCTGTGGCATCCACGGCAAGTGCATTGGTGACTGGGATTGGTTCAATTGCAAGTGTCTCGCCGGCTATATGGGATCAAAATGTGACAAAGGTATGATTGGCAAGGTGGTAAAAGAGGAGTTCTAAGGAAAAGGCTTTGTGATTAAAGGAGCAGATGCAGTGTGATGTAAAATTGGTTCAATGTTTGGTTTTAATAAGGTGGGGTTTTATAGCTTTACAATTAAGGCTGTATTTTGCAGTTTTTTCCATAATTTTGCAGCTGGCATTATGCTGAAGAAATGAACCTGTGCATATTTTACATAGGTGTGTGTACTTTTATTTTGCTTTGATTACATAGGTGTTCAGAAATGGGAATGTATGGAGGATATGAGATGCTCTGGACTGAGTATGTATTGTCCTTTTTAACAGGAATCCAGAGCTAAAATATTAGTTGTTTTTTATACCTTTAATATACTATATTTGGATTTTCTAACCTATTTTTTCTTTTTAAAACTTAAGTTGTTTCTCATTGCTTTAATCATGATACTAATGTGTCACCTTCGAGATAATCCTTAAAAAAAGGAAAAGGGTCCAACAGTCACTGCAAATAACCCCCAAAAAACAATGTTTCAAGAAGTAAGTGAAATTACATACAAAATATTCTGCAATAACCAGCAGTAATATTGATTTGTGAAAGAAATGTTGTTATGCTCTTTATTACCGCCCCCCAAAAGTAACCCATGACAGGTAGCACTATTTGTGCATGAATTTCAAACTCTGTAAGAATCAAGGAAATTTAAAAATCTTGATGGTGGCCAGGATCACTAACATATCTCAGTGATGGCTACCTGTTCATGCAGGCTGCATAAACCTTGCTCCTGGGTTAGCACAACCCATGTCTTATTATTTTGTTTTGACAGCAATCTGGTATTATGATCTGACTTGAGCAATTCTCTTTTAAGAGTTTGCCAGAAACAGAGACACATTCTGTAAACCAGGGGTGGACAACTTCAAAAGGGCAAAGGATCAATTTTCTGTCTTCAGGTTCTTCTGGAGGCTACATGGATTTCCAAAAATGCCTGATCCCCACAGAATGAAATTTGAGATATATTTCTGGTTTTGAATAAGGAAGTCGGTTTTTTTTTCTTTGTTGGTGTTGTTGTTGTTTAGTCGTTGAGTCGTGTCCAACTCTTCGTGACCCCATGGACCAGAGCACGCCAGGCCCTCCTTTCTTCCACTGCCTCCCAGTTTGGTCAAATTCATGTTGGCAGCTTTGATGACACTGTCCAACCTTCTCGTCCTCTGTCGCCCCCTTCTCCTCTTACCTTCACACTTCCCAGCATCAGGGTCTTTTCCAGGGAGTCTTCTCCGGCTTGTACTTCTGGGAGTTCTCGGTCAACATACTGCTGAAGCCTACCTTGTAGGATTTTGAGCATAACCTTACTACCGTGTGAAATGAATGCAATTGTACGGTAGTTGGAGCATTCTTTGGCACTGTCCTTCTTTGGGACTGGGATGTAGACTTTTCCAGTCCTCTGGCCACTGCTGAGTTTTTCATACTTGCTGGCATATTGAGTGTAGCATCTTAACAGTGTCATCTTTTAAGATTTCAACTGGAATGTCATCACCTCCACTGGCCTTGTTGTTGGTGTGGTGGAAAGTGATAGGAAGAGGCTCTAACCCAATTAAAAGGTGAACCACAGTTCTAGAGGAGTCATATAACATTTTTGCTGGGGAGAAATTGAGCGGGTGGGGGGGAAGAGATAGGATTAAATGGGCAGCTATGGTGGGCTGCAGTTCAGCCAGCTGAACTGGTGTAAATACACAGGGAAGCAGCTGGAAAGAGAGGGAGGAAAGCTCAAATTGTTACAGGGTTTTATTACTCTCATGTGTTTTCTCACCTTTAGTTCTTCCAGAATGGACCTTTGGAAAGGACAGCTGGATTCATTATGAACTGAAAACTGCATTTAACGCTTACAATACATATGCCCAACTCTCAGTGCGTACCAGAATGCCCCACAGCACACTTCTGAGTATGACATCTGTAGATGGAAGTGGATACATCAGAGTTGAGGTAAAAAACAATGTGCAAGCCTCTCTTGATGGTTATGGAAATTTCTGGCTGGCTGGAGGGAGTAACAGTTTTGGTCTTGTTATAGCACAAACAACAAAAGGGTTTTTTTGCATCCTGAAGAATAATTACAGTGGTGCCTCGCACAGCGAGGTTAATCCGTCCCGGATTAACCCTCGCTGTGTGAAACATCGCTGAGCGGGGCAGAAAAGCCCATTGGAACGCATTAAACATCGTTTAATGCGTTCCACATCGGCTGAAAACTCACCGTTCAGCGATGCTTCCGGGGTCCGGCAGCCATTTTCGTGCCCTCCCCTCGCTGAACGAGGGCACGAAAATGGCTGCGATCAGCTGTTCCGCGGCTTCAAAATGGCCGCCGGAACAGCCTAAAGGGCCGGGTGCAGCGTTTTCGCGCCCTTGGTAAGCAAGGGGAGAGCGCGAAAACGCTGCCGGAACAGCTGAAATGGCTGCCGCGGAACAGCTGATCGGTGGGTCGCAAAGCGAAGGTCGGTAAGCGAACCGCTTACTGACCTTCGCTCTGCGATTTTCGCCCGTTGGGGCCATTGCTCTACGAGGCGCTTGTTGTGCGAGGCACCACTGTAGTTTCATTTGTCACAAGCTTAAGTAGGCTGCAGTCTGTTCCATTAGAAGCACTTGCATCCAGTAGAAGTGGGCTGCCCTCCACAAAAACATATCTCAAGTAAAACTATTGGGTTTACAAAGATATTACATCACTCTTTTCCCTTCCTATTATTATGCTGTTTCCCACCCCACCAAGATGTCAAAGCAAACTGAAGCTTCACAACAAGCCGTGATTTATTCCTGAATGAAAACAAAACTTGACTCATTACCTGAATGTCTTTGTTGGAACAGAATTCAAGAAACTTTTTTGGTCTGGGGAGAGGGGATCAGATTACTTTCGAGAAAAATGGGGTTACTCTATACCTGCCCTCTTTTACAGCTTCTCCTGGAAACCATTATGCAGAAATGAACTGGAGTCTGGCTTTCCCTTTATGACAGCATACAAGTTATGAAATGGAAAGGCAAGAGGAATCCTGAAGACAAATTCTTTTTCTTCTTCCTCTTTCTCTTTCTTTTCCTTGTCCTCTCCTACCAGAGGCTGCATGTCATCATGGCTATTTTGACTTTGGATTCACCCAAGTTCACAATAACTTAAAATACTCATATGTCTAATGTTCTGACATCTTTTGTGGACTCCTACCCTCTGCATTAGATGCCTCTCATGAACTGGACTGTATCCCTGGATATCGGTTTATAAACTAGTTGGGAGGTAAATCTAAGTTTACCTCTTTGATATTTCCAATTGAGACCACTATGTGCCTCTCTCCCTTTAAATCTTTTTCGGTGTAGCTGCAAAAATGTGCTGTGAAAGTAATTTACTTTGGGGTTTGTGCCTGACCCCAGCCAAGGCAGCCTCAGCATGGATGTTGAGGTCCCCCAGCACCAACAGCCTGGGAGTCCTCAACACCAGGGCCAAGTCTACCTCCGTCAGCTCAAGCAGGGAGACTGTTGGTACGCAGCAGGGTGGGCGGTACACCAACAGAATCCATAATCTGTCTCGTAATCCCAACACACAATACAGGCCCTCAAGACCTCCTCTCAAAGGGATATGAAGCCTGGTCAGGGAAAAATAGAACTCCTATAGACTATAGCAACTTCCCCTCCCCGACCCTCCAAGTGACATTGGTGCTGGACTGAGTACCCAGGCGGACACAGCTGGGAGAGGGGAACACCACCCTCCTCTCCCACCCAGGTCTCAGTAATGCACGCCAGGTCAGCACCCTCATCCAGAATTACATCATGGATGAGGGCAGTCTTATTTTGTACTGACCTGGCATTCATCAACAGCACCGTGTGGCTCAAGGGTTTGCTGATATGGTCACCTGATACCATCTGGTTGGGGGTGGGACTAGAAGAGGGGATAGATGTAAGGTATCTAACCTCTCTTCTCCTATGTGGGCATGTTCTACCCCCCCACACACACACACCATTCCTTCCCCTACCCAGCACCACCTCAATGGCTGCCCCCTCCAACGCCCTCCCCCCTTCCTGTTCCATCAGGTCCACTGCGGGTCTCTATGCAATCCAATGCCAATTAATAATAATAACTGTTAAAAACAAACACACATCCTTCTAATGCTCCTTCTCCCCTCCAAGCCAGGTGGCCGGTGAACACACATCCTTCTAATGCCCCTTCTCCCCTCCAAGCCAGGTGGCCGGTGCTGAGGATGGGGTGGGGCAGCCAGAGGCAACAAGGAGCAACAAGGGCCCAGTCCTTCAGGGACAAGGAAGTCCAGGCCAGAAACTCCCCCCAGGACACTGGGGCACCCAGTGCCTGAGGGACGGCAGATAGCACAGGTGACTCCCCCGAAGGCAGGCACACTGGTCCAGAGTCCAGGCCAGAAACTGCCCCCAGGACACTGTCTCTCACCCAGTGTCTGAAGGATGGCAGATAGCACAGGCGACTCCCCCGAAGGCAGGCACACTGGTCCAGCAGGGTCCTGGCACAAGCTTCTGGCTTTTACATCCTCCTTCCCCTCCAAGCTAGGTGGCTGGTGTTGAAGAAGGAATGGGGCAGCCCGAAGCAGCAGCAGGGGCCCAGTCCTGCAGGGACAAGGAAGTCCAGACCAGAAATGAGAAAACCAGTTAGCTTAGTAATTAGTGATCTTTGAAACATTATCTTTTAACTGCCCAGAGTAGGTATGTTCTAGATGGGCAGTATATGTTTAATTAATTAATTAATTAATTAAGTGCAATGTCTGAGAACTTTAACCAGTGTACAGAACAATAATTAGCTTCAATTGAACACCTACATATTTAATTGTACATGTCTTTTTAGTACATGTCTTTTATAGAATGATACGTGAAGTCCATGCTTTTCTCTCTGCCTCCAGATCATTGGTGGACATTTTGGTGTGAGCTTCAATTTGGGAGACAAAAATCACACTCTTCAGTTAAACACTGTGCGCATAGACAATGGCCAATGGACTGAATTAGTCCTAGAACGTTATCACAATGAATTTTCTTTGCGTGTCAATGATGGTGGAGGTGATCATGAAGTGTCTTCTATTCTGGGATCAAGTGGCTGGTTCAAAATGGATTTGGCAAGCATTGTGCTAGGAAACCACTTTGCTAACCATTCAGAAAGTGACTTCCAAGGTATGTGGTGTGACTTATAGGCTATAGGGGAGAAAGCCATCAGAAATTCCTGCTGTCTACTGAAGAGCGTCAAGGATGTGTCATTTAGGGTTAGCTCCAAGAAGTGGCAAGGTTAGGAATTTGCAAAGGTCCCCAAGACTCAGCAGAGGATTCATCACCCTAACAGTGCTATGACTCCTATCACATCCTAGCTTGCTACTAGGATTAGAGGCAGCTGTCTTCTGCTATGCCAGCTAGAGGATTAGTAGCTGCTCTTGAAGACCAGTTACAGTGGTGCCTTCGCTTAATGATTTTAATTGGTTCCAAAAAAAAATCGCTATGTGAAAACATCGTTAAGCGAAACACCATTTCCCATAGAGATGCATTGAAAACCAGATAATCCGTTCCAATTGGAACGGATTACCATCCTTAAGCGAAAATCCCCATAGGAAAAAACGTTAAGCGAAACCCATTGAAATGCATTGAAGCCTATTTCAATGGGGGGGGGGAATTTACAAAAATTTCAAAAAGACTCAGAACAAAGCCATATTAAGTTAACGAAGGTTTTATTAGGTGCAGTAACGATTCCAAGCATTTTAAACATTTTTATACATTTTAGAATATTTTTAAAATAGCAAAAACAGGGCTGTCAAAAAAAACGTTAAGTGAAACAGGGGACCTAAAACTGTCATCATTAAGCGAAGCATGGTCCCGAAATCGTTAAGCGAAAATCGCCCATAGGGAAAATTGTTAAGTGAAGCACAAGATTGCTCCGAAAAAGCCATCGTTAAGTGAATTTTTCGTTGTACGAAGCAATCGTTAAGCAAGGCACCACTGTACCTTCCTAGTTCTCTCATGTCCTAATCTTTTCCAGCTGTCCAAACCAAGATCCTGGAGATTATATAGATCTCTTTCCCACCTGCTTTTTTTTGCAGGCTGTATGAGGGATGTTCATCTGAATGGCCAGCCTCTTCTTGTGGATGGTAAAAGCACTGAATACAGCTTTGTTGTGGAGCAGCAAGGCATCACCATAGGTTGCCATTCAAGTGCATGCAACAGTCAGCCCTGTTATAATCCTTTCCACTGTGTAGACCTTTGGAGGAAGTACGAGTGCAGGTATGTAGATGTGTAATGTCTTGTTTTCTTTTCCTTTTACAATCCTGTGTGTGCACGTAAAGGAAAATGTCTCGTTTCCTAAGACATCAGAACACACAAGGGATGCATCTGTCTTGAATGTCACTAGCAATATAAAGTTCCATAATCAATTTTGTGGTTATGAACTGAATTTTAGCTATAATGCCAAAGCTTGGAAACATAACCTTTTTTGAACTACAATATCCATAACCACCTACCCCCATAGTATGGATTCTGACAGTTTTAAAAAGTAACTTTAACTAACTCTGTCAATCCCCACCCCACCTCAAACAACCATATATTTTGGTGGCTGCACAATAAAGAGTTCTTGGTTTTGAGAGGGGAGAAATCCATGGATTTCACCATACCATGTTTAGCATGGGAGCATGGTACTTGCATATAGGCAGTACACATGAGGTTGAGTACATGGACAGGAGCCACCCTATCCCCTTCTGTTGCCATATGGAATGAATTCCCTCTTCCTACCCAGAAAGCTTTGCTGCTACAGATAGGAGGTGGTTTCTCTGGGATATATCATCTATATCTGGAAATGTTCCATACAACTAGCCTATATTGTGTCACAACCATGGGTCTAGGCCACAGACAACAATATGCTACCTGCAGGCCCCAAGGCAGTTTTTGTAACACTTATAAAACAGTGTTGTGTCAGCTCAGTGAGGCTGGACAGAGTCACAATATCAAGCATCATATGCTCCTCGCTATGCTATGAAGAGATACATATGGGTGGCTCCCTTTGGGCTTCCACCTAATGCTGAGACAGTGCAGGAAATGTTGCATCTGTCACATTACTTTGCAGGACAGAAATGGATGGTGCTTGTGTGGGACCAAACCTAGTCCTTTAGAACTGCTTAGAGACCCAGTTACATTCCCCACTGTTTCATCGGTGACAGGGATGGGCAACATGCAGCCTCTCTAAATAGACCCTCTCACATGTGCCACCACATTTCACCTGTAATTTGTTAAAAGCCATTAGAACAAACAGAAAATCTCTGTTTTACAGGGGTTTTTTTCCAGTGCAGTGGCAAACTGTGTAAAACAAATGTTTATTTCTTGTTTACTTGGATTTTTGGCAATTCGCTGCAAGAATTCACTGGTTTGCTAGCAGTGGGCAGTCCACAACTTGTACATGGGGTGGGGGTGTTCATCACTCTGACCTACAAGATATGCTCATTCCCACTAAAGGTCCCAGGGGCTGCAAACTAGATCCTTATGGCTTTATCCTAAGAATATCGTTTCAGCTCTCACTTCTAAACATTGCAAAATGTTGACTGTATATTTTAGTTGCCTCTTAAAAATTGGTGGGTTTCTCCATTCAGGTGCCCAGCTGGCAAAGTGGAAGTGACAGATAATCTCACAGGCCTTAAACAGTGCACCTCCTCGCCCTGCGGCCATTGGAACTGTAGAAATGGCGGGACTTGTGTGGCCCAGTCCCGGGATAAATATGTCTGCCAGTGTCCTGAAGGTTACAAAGGAAAGTGGTGTGAAGTCAGCCCTGTGAAAGCAGGAAGACCAGTGGGACTCAGCTCTGGTTCCATCTTGGCTATCAGCATGTGCCTGCTTGTTTTTCTAGGTAGGAAACTTTGGCCCCTCTACTGTCACCCTATTACTGTATGCTGTGCTATTGACAATGAGGACATTTGACTTATCAGTCCTTGCACTGATTAACAACTGTGGTCATACAGATACTCCATATGGATTAGGCTTCATCTTTCCTTTCTTATCCCTATAATTATTTTTCTCATGCACACCTCCTCCATATCTGTTTGCTGAGATTGGCCCACATGTTAGGCAAAAAGGAAAGCTCATGCCTAAGAACATATAATTGGCCTGCAGCAGGAGGCATTCCTAAGCAATTTCATTTACACACTGCTGCCCAAGATACTACTTTAAATTTTTTTCTGCAACACTCCAGTCAACATTGGGCAGCTAGGTCCAGGAGTCAGCATTCCAATGTTCCACACGATCCAGAGCAATATGGTCTTGGGGGTGCTGTGGGTAATTAAAATGGCAGCTAAGACTGGTCAGTGCTCTTACTGCCTGCCACTGTCACCAAATGAACCTACCAAAGATCACTGAGGGGCACTGTGCCAGGCCCCCTGCCTCCCAGCTGGAGCTGGTTCTAGCGTGGCTACATGCTTGCATTGGCCCTCCTGTGTTTCACTCTGTACAGGTAACAAAAACTGCTGCACAGTCTCAGAGCACTCCTAGAAGAAGGGGATGGTAAACCACCTCTGTGTGCTCTCTACGTAGGAAACAGTGGAAAATGGTTGCCATGAGTCAGAATTGATTTGTCAGGAGGAAGAACCATTTGTGGAGTTGCACAGCAACAATGAGAAATAATCACTTTAATTAATTCACTTATTACACAAAACCCAGTTTTTCTTCCACTTCATTATGCTTTATTTAGTATCAGTTCCATCGTGGTAATCTTCAGGTCATATTTACTTGCCTGTAGCAGAAGAGGAAGGAGTCTTATCTTTTGGGGCCATAAATTAGCATAGTCAGTGTGACTAGAAATCGATTCCTTTATTTTCCTTCCTCTCAGATAAATGCAAAAGCCAGCTGTCTGGTCAAGGGCACCTACTTTGTAGTCATTTTGCATTCTGTTCCTAACAGTTGCGCTCATAACAAACATTATTCGCTTTAAGAGCCAGGGGTGTGTCAATTCTGAGAAGCATGGTTACATTCCACCCACCCACTCTCAGTGGCAGCCCACAGCATTTGTACTCTCCAGGCTTTTGAGAATGAGCGACTATGGACGCTTGAACAGATCAGTTTCTGACTGCACATGTGCTTCTCGCACTTTATGTTTATTCAGAAAAGATATAAACAATATTGTTACAGCTGTGATCCAGAGTAATATACATGCAGAGCAATACCTGTTATCCAGTAAGTCATCTGGACCCTGGGATGTGCCTTCAGATTTTTTTGGAATCAAAACCTCAGAATTATGAGAATTCTATCCTGCAGATCCAAAGTTCCAAACCTTCAGACAGCTACATTTTGCTGAATTGGAGCAGGGCCTGCCTTAAGAGTTTTCTTCCGGTTGGGAATTTTCTAAAAAGGAAGTTACTGTGGTGCTTTTTGGGAGTTGTGCTGTCATTGTCTTTATAGAACCTAAAAGGCAATGAGACTGGCTCCAAAAGAAGTACAATGCCAAGAAAATCCAAATGGCACATCCCTACTTGCTATCTCTCACAGCTTGGCAGTAAAAGAGCACTACTTGAACCTGTTAAGACTACCACATTAGTTTTACTTTATACCTAGGACTTTGAAAACTATGACGCAAACTAACTTGGCTTTCAATGAATGGATTCTTCTGAAATTAGGCTAAATGCCTGTCTCCAAAAAGCATACATGTCTCCAAAAAGTAATGACTTGAATAATTTTTAATACCACTTTTAATCTTCATTAAAACAGTGTTTTACTTACTGTGGGTATCTTATTTACTCAGGATTGGTGAAAGGCCAGAGAATGGCCAAAATGCCTTCTATTTAAATGTCCTAGTGGATTCCTGTAGGTAAGTAAAATACTCTTTTAATGAAGCTTGATATTAACATACAGATGATTCATTACCTTCCTGAAGAGTGTATTTTGTTTATTGGACCCTTAAATTAAAGCACTGCATTCCTTCCCTAGCAGTATAAACTTTAAGTGCTACCTTGTTTTATCTCAGGTTGCTTTCATATTCTAGAAATGAATGCTGTTAAGTATAACATGAAAGAACTGTAACAAATATGTCTTCTTTCTCCCCATCCTCCCACCAGGTTTATTAGTCTCGTATACTGTGTGGAGTCAGTGGGGGAGATCAGGGTTTCGGAAAGGAGGAATTTACCACATTCCTGAGGAACATGAAAGTTGGGAAGATGTTAGAGAAAACGTCTTCAATTATAATGAGGAAGGAGGAGGGGAGCATGACCTGGTATGGTTTTGCATGATCTGGTATGGCATCGCTACAGCATTTTAAACTCATAGTAGCCCCAGTTCAGAAATACACATCAGAGATGTAGATGAATAAATGGGCACGATTGTGAACCCTTTTGCCAGGGAGAAAGATTCTGAGAAATGACCATCCTATGCATTTCATGACTGTACCAAAGAAGAATGGTGGTTCTTCTAGAACAGTCGTACCCATAGCCTCCGGCTGTTTATGGACTGAAATGTCCAGCATTCACTACCATTGCTTATGCTGGTTAGGGATGATCAGAGGCATAGAGTGCCACACTTCACCCATCCCTATTATTATGGGACTGCAACTTCCATTAGCCTTAGTCAATGTAGCTAATTAACAACAGGGATGGGCATCTATAGTTGGAGTTATATATATATATATTTACTTGGAAGTAGTAACCTGTTTTCACCAGTAATTTCTGAGAGTGAGCCCTAGCAATTTTTAATGATGTTAATACTAGAGTCATACTCAAGAGTCAGAAAACTACATCATCTAATCCAGTGGTTTCCAACCTTGGGTAACCTAGGTGTTCTTGAACTGCAAATCCCAAAAAATCTGGCCAGCACAGCTGGTAGTGAAGTTTTCTGGGAACTGCAGTCCAAGAACACCTGGGTTACTCAAGGCTGGGAACCACTAATCCATTAAGTGACTGAAAAACCTCCTATTGTTTGGGTCTAAATAGATGTTGTATGAAACACTAGTGTGCCATGGTATGTGAGTGATTTGCAAAATATAGGCTGCAGATTCGGCATGCATACGAGTAAAGGTGCAACTACATTGGGGGGAAAATGGGAAATGGTAGGGGTTTGGAGTGAGCTGATTTACTTTTTTTTTCCTGTTGATCACGAAATACAAAGAGAAATGAAAAGCAGCCCAGAATGTCCTCCCATCCCTAGTTTCCCCTGTGCTACTGGGGCTTCTACTTTTTAAAACAATTGATACATTTGCATTGGTTAGCTAAGATGAAGCAAAGCCTCTTAGAAAGTCTCTGTTATATTTTCCTGGATTTTTTTTTGTACAGTTAAAGATGAGCAAAACCTTTCTCAGGAAACCTTTTTTTTTACAGCTTAGAAATTAATTTCAAAGCCAGCAAGGCTTGAAAAAAAAAACAGCTTGGTGCCTCCTTACACACACACACACACACACACACACACACACACACACACACACACAGAGAGAGAGAGAGAGAGAGAGAGAGAGAGAGAGAGAGAGATGAGGAGGAGGAAACAGCAGCAGGAAACCTTTGTTACAGCTTGTTTAGGCAGTTCCTTTTAGCCGTGCCTCCTACAAGGCTTCAATAGAGCTGCAAATAAGGTGCAAAACAGGGCTTTTCTTTGCATTTCCTCTGTGGCTACTTAAATTGAACAGACCCAAACTCCTCCAGTGTGACTTCACAGCAAATGTACACAAATTTGCATTTCCCTCACTGTGTAGTTGCACCCTAACAAGAGTAAGAACTGTTCTGGCGGGAGGTAGCAGTGTGTGTAGTGGAAGATGAAAGCCATAGCTGGCTTCAAAAGTTCTGATGAGAAAGAACTCTTTCCCCCTGATGTTTATCATTGACATTTGTCCCAAACTCCTGTACCCTCCAAAATCCTGGCCTTCATCCTTCCATTTAAATTAGTTTGTAGTAAATATTGAGATTTCTTGTAAACCAGGAATGAGGGACTTCTGGTTTTCTGGATGTTGTGTTTTATAATCCTTATTAGTCTCAAACACTACAGCTAACTGAATTATGAGGCTTGTTTTCCAAAATATCAGGAGAGCCAGAGGTTCCCCAGTCTTGTTATAGGTTTTCCTCATGTCATATATTCCTTAACTTGTTCTTTTTTTAAAAAAATCATTGTCCCTTCCCTTTGAGTACTCCAGGACTGGCTCCAGGCAATTATGAGCTGGGCATTTGATGAGGGCAACCAGCAGAGATCTACGACTCCACCATTCTCCTTTTGTGCTGAGCACTTTCCCAGCTTTTTAAGTTCAATAACAGGATGAGAGGATTCTCAGTTTGCATGACCTCCTTCTTCCAGGTTAAGGGGGTCAAGGTTGCCTTGTCCAAAGGCCCCTCCAAATCTAAGAGCCAGGCCTGGAGTACTTGCAAATATTGTTGGCCACAACATTTCAAAGAAGAGGTAAAAATGAATACAGTGCTTTCAGCTGAGGCTTAACCAGTATTGAGTTTAAAAGGTACTTACTACCTCTCCTGTCGTCTTGTATATTCTTTTTTTTAAAAAAGAAAAGAAAAATGGGTTCTAGACATTTTAATTGTGTTGTTCTTTATTGTTGTTGTCTGGAATAGGTTCAGGGTCTTGTTTTAGCTCTGAAGTTTTTCCAGATTCTTCCAGGAGGCTTCTGAAACCTTTTTCATAACAACATTCCAAGCTTGAGAAAAGTGATATACACTCTAATGTAACTCAATACAAGTGCATGGTGTGAGGAGGTTCTCTGTCTCCTTTGGGTGGCCCCTCATTTTCAGCGGGAAATAATAAAGGCTGAGTCTTTATAACTTTAACATTTTGAACTTTATTGTCTCCAATGTCCACCAGCACTTCTCTTGACGGTAACATAGGTTCCAACAGTGGCAACTGGCCATCATCAACATCAACCAAACTTTTGTTATAGTCCCAAGAACTTAATGGTGAAGTACCCCATACTGCTTCCTGGGTACCGATCGCGGGGGTGGGGCACTCCCCATCGCACAGATCGTCCCACAACATGAGTGCCTTATCCACCTCCTTTCGTCTGGTCCTTCAGGAAAAGGAGCTGTCAAGCTCTCCCTCTCTCACTGCAGCTCAGCCTCTCGAGGAGCCACGATAACTGTCCACTCACAGGCCACCATCCGCTGAGGTCTTTCCTCCTTGGCTGAAGGGTCCGGCAGCAGCCCTCCCACTTTCAAGTTCGGGAAATCTTTTAGAAGGCCCTGATGTCGAACTCTCTCAAATGCCTTCCTTCTCTCTTCCCGCTTCTTCCTCTCATATTCCTCTACCACCGTATTGAACCAGACTATCCCCTCTTCGTTTTTATACTCCTCCCACACCGGTACTTCTTGCTCCTCCCATTCCTCTTCAGCTAGGCATACCTCCAACTTTCCCACCCTTTCCTCAACTGTCAAAACCTTTCCCTTTCCATCTCCACTTTCACTGCTATCCCGATGTTTCCCTTCTTTTCTATTGGTCTCCATTTTGTCTTTCGCGGACGGCTCACTCTTTTCCTCCACGCCTTCACACATGGATTTTGGGTCCACTGGCTAGGAAGCCTTATGAAGTTTTACCCAGAAATTATTTATATGAAATTGATTTGATAATGTGTATTTGGTGGACAAAGGGAAAGATTATATGTAAAATGTTCTATGTCATCTTTCCCTCCACACTGGAGCTTAGAGAATCAATGTGGCTCAGTGGGCCAAAAATGTAACTTAGATCTACCAGACTCAGGTTCATGTCCCATTTCTACTACATCCTGCAAAGATCTGGCTTTATTGTGTAATCTCTCGAGCCAATAATTTCTCTATCTTGTAAAAATAGGACAAAAGTAATTAAAAAACTGTAAAGCATTTTACAAATGAAGAATTTTAAGAACAGAAATAATAGTGTTTTATTATTAATAAAATATTCATTTTTGTTCTTTTTTCCCCTTTACTCTCAGAGTGCTTATAATATAAATATGCTAAAGAAACCTCTACCAAGTATACCTCCATTTTCTTCAGGAACTGCTGCTCCACTCCTCAGATCACATACTGGAACACAAAGAAACAGAACTGGGAATTCTGCATGCATGGTTCCCAGTGTCCCAGATGTAAGACATTACATGTCTCAGATAACACAGGATGAAGATAATGATTTGCAGAGGCTTCCAGAAGACATGACACATTGTATTGCCTAGAATGACAGGGCTCTTTGCATCAAAGTTTGAATTCCTTAGACATCTCCAGCACAGAGAAAGAGTTAAATGACAATTACCTCAGTGAATGGGGACCCAGCTTGTAAGGATAAAAGAGCTCTAAGAACTTCAAACTGATAAGTTATAAATATGGACTCATGAACATAACAGACCTCTGTGAGATGGACCCTACTCCTAAAAGGACATATTTTAGTATTATCCTATTTATTAATTATGTTTATTTGGAAACCATACATCAGTGTGGTTGATCTCCCCATTCACTGATCTGAATAAAAGTTTTTATATGTGTTGAATAAATATAGAGAAATGTTTTTCATGAAGTTTTTTGTTTGCTTTGAAGCTAATAAATTTTGTAGTATTGAAATCGCATAAGCTACCTCTAGGATGTCAATTTTAAAACATTCTGTATGTATAACTACTTAAATTTGTGTTGTGTTCTCTTATAATCCCATTAAATTAAGTTTTATATAGAAATCGTACAATGTATTTGTATACTTGTTTAGTGTGTCTGCTTCTTTTGATTGACCTTCATGCTAAAGCACTGTGATCTGCTTGTGACTACATTTCACTACAGTTGTGTGTGGTGGGGTAGGGCCAGGATTTGGGAAAGTTTGATTTTTGGACTACAACTTCCAGAGTTCCCAGGCAAAATCACTCCTTAAATATCTAAGTTTGAATGCCCTATTAGGGTTCTCACAAGTCAGTTCCGACTTGATGGCACATATCACACAAGAAATGAAAGGTGTAGAATACCAGTTTAGGATGGGATTAGCAAAGTGTACCTCCAGATACTGCTGGACTACCAACTCCAAGTATCTTACCCTTGGCTGTGCTGACTATAGCTGATATAGATGTTGCAATCCCAAAACATCTGCAGGCATGTAGTGCATCCACTGCTAATGCAGGTCCTAACAGGAATCAGGGGAATCCAAATAGCACATTCAAAATTGCCACTTACTTGTTATGTGACATCAAATGACCTCCGACTTATGGTGACTCTATGAATGAGTGATCTCCAACACTCAACGGCCCTGGTCAGCTCTTGCAAACTGAAGCCTGTGGCTTCCTTTAGGGCATCAATCCATCTCATATTTGGTCTTCCTCTTTTCCTGCTGCCTTCCACTTTTCCCAGCATCATTACTGTATCTCTCCCAGAGAATCCTGTCTTCTCGTGATGTGCCCAAAGTAGGGCAGCCTCAATGTCAACATTTTTGCCTCTAGAGATAGTTCAGGTTTGATTTGCTCTCTAGGACCTACTTACGCTTTATATAGCACAGTAGTGCACCAAGAAGAGCTCCAGGGTGTTCTTTCACACCTTTGTAAAGCCCGCCACCCTATTATTTACACTCGCTCCGCAAACATAATTTGACTAGGAACGTCAAACAACAGTTTGCGCAAAGCGCCCTCCCTCCGAGAGCCGAACGTAGAGAATGAAGCCCCGCCTTCTTCCTCATCTGGCGAATCGCATGAGAGGTTACCTTCTTGCCGTCTGCTTAGTGGCCTAAATCTGAGAAAGGAGGCGGAGCAGTAGCGGTCTCCGCTTTCTCTTTTCCCCTCTGTAAAGCAGAAGAGGCGGTGCAAAGGCAGGGGAGCCGGGCGGCCGCCGCCATTTTGGGTGGTGGGAGGGGTTTTAAAAATGCTCTTGTGAGGGGATAAGGACACCTCCGGGGAAGGGAGTAAAGAGGGGGAAGAAAGGTGAGAGGAAGGAGCGCTTTTCGCGTCCGTATGTGCACCCGCACGCATTGAGGAGAGGAATTTAGGAACGAGAGTTCATACGGACTGGGGCTTTTGAGCTGGAGGAATACTAAGAAGTGGGAGTGAGGTGGATGAAAGAGCGCGAGAGGGGTGAAGGAGGAGCAGAGACCGGGAGCTATAGGACCTCTGCAAGAGGTTTTGGCCCCCAGTTTAGCCACAGAAAAGTAGTGCCCATGGAATTAAGCTGTTAAAATAAGAAACGGTGGAGAGGTTGGAGCAGGAGTAGATTTTTGTAGAAAAGGACGTCCAACTTAATTTTGAGATTGAACACCAGTTCGTGCTCCGAGTCATGTGGCCGGAGGTTCCGCGTTCTTTAATTGCAGTTTTTCTGGATCTCTGGCCTAAACTTCCCATTGTCACCAGACGCCAAACTGGTGGACGTGGAGGTTTCTAGGGACACAGACAGGGTGCATCCTAGCGGCCTGACATCTGCTCCCCTCTGGGGTGGAAGAGATTCTGGTGGGAGCATCCCCTGGCATTTTGATTTCCAATTACTGTAAAGGCTATGTTGAGAAGTTCCAACGGAGTGGTGGTGTTCGGGTGTTAAAGCAAAAGCAATTTAAAAAAAAAAAAGTGGAAGGGGTGGCAGGGTTCTTGTGGCGTATCAGCTGTGTGTCAAACATTTGTGAGTTGAAACATTTTAACTTGAGTGGCTTGGTGTTTAGGATTACCTGCTGTGGGAGCATGAGTGTGTACTAGAAAAATGGAAACTGGAGCTGAAAGTTTACGGACTGTAGTACTTCTGCATAAAGTCCATGGTTTAGTCTTGATTTTCCTTGTACATACATGTGTGCACACCTTTAATTGGGTTTGATGTTATGATATTTGTTTTGTAGTGCTGAATTAATGTTTCTATTGTAATTATGTTTTATTGTCTTTTTTATGTTACCCAGAGTGGTCTCTAGCTAGATGAGGAGTATATAAAATGAATGAATGTACAATTCATTTTATTTTTAAGGCTCTTGCATTCATTTGGTGCACACATGGAAGGCTTCCGTTCCTTTCTTTCCTTGTTTCATTTGTATAGTGGAGTTCAGTTAGAATGTGATGCTATGTGAATTAAGGCACATATCTTATGTGCTATGGAGAAGTTTTGTACCAATATAAGCAAGTTGCTTTTCAATCAGGGAAATCTGGCACTACTCACAGCGCCACCACATCCCTTTAGATTGCTCATCAAAACTGAAAAAGCTTCAGGAGAAGATGAGTGTAGAAGCTGCTGACCGGGAGGCTGCCACCTCTAGTCGACCATGCACACCTCCTCAGACCTCCTGGTTTGAGTTCTTGCTGGAAGAATCTCTGCTGGAGAAACATTTGAAAAAAGCTTATCCAGGTTAGTAATTGCATGCTTTAATTACAGTTTTTATTTCTGTTAGTGACTGGAAGAGTTGAAAGGGCTTGACAAGGTGAACAATATTTTAAGATTCTCCTTAATCATATAAGATTGAATTTTTGTATCACACTGACCTACGTTTATTGTCTCTATATAAAATTGCAGTTATGTGTACAGTTGCTTAAATCCTATTGAGATCAGTGTATTTGAGTGTAAAAGTGATGATACACATTAAATTATTTTATATGTGAGTTCATTAGTACCTATACTTGCAAGCACGTATATATGTAGTTGCGATTTTCTGTAGCTCCTTTGTACCTATACTTGCATATCAGTATTTCTGCAAGCACATACATATGTAGTTGCGATTTTCTGTAGCTCCTTGACCATAGCGTCATTAAGTTGGAAATGGCCTGTAAGACCATCAAGTACAAGTCTCTGCTCAATGCAGGAATTTATATCAAAGCAGATGAGGTGACAGAACAATTCGTAACTGTATAATGTGTTAAATGACTATAAACACACAGGGTTACAAAGTTAAATGTTAAGTGTTTGCCACTTTGCTTGAAGTGGTGTTGCTTGCTTGATATTTGTTGTTTTCACCCTGTGTGACATCTTCACTGAAAATGTAGGTATTAAAATCTGTCTTTTATTTACTGTAGATCCATCACCTGTTCAGCTGATTGTTCAGTTTCTGGAGCAGGCTTCCAAGCCTTTGGTGAATGAGCAGAATCAGGTTCAGCCTCCACCTGATAACAAGAGAAATCGCATTTTAAAATTACTTGCTTTGAAAGTTGCTGCACATTTAAAGTGGGATTTGGACATACTGGAGAAAAGGTACCAGTGACCTTCTTGCTTTATGTTGTTAATAAATAGCTATGCAATATTAATGTTTATTTGTATGGGATTTCTGCTGTTTTCATTACCCTGACTAGTATCTTGTATGTTACTTCAGGGGAGTACAAACTAATGCAAATCTGTTTTTTGATGGACTTACTGTCCTTTAGTGGTAATACTAAATCATAGTGCAGGAGGAGTGGGAAATGTGTGCTCTGCTAAAGAATGTTGAACCAGAGCTTGTAATGTTCCCTTAAAAAAAAAGTTATAGCACCAATGCTCCAAACCTTAGTTATTTAGTATAATGTAAATAACTACTGTTTGGAACATTGATGTTATAACTTTAATTACACCACTCATCTTATCGCCTCAATAGTCACAAAAAACAAGCCAGCATCACTTCAGTCATGTAATATTTATCTTGTACTATTTCGAAGCCACTCAGACTGTAAAGGTAACTAAAATGTTAGTTATGCTGCAAAAGGAGTGAAGTTCTCTCTTAACTTGTAGTCGTAATGTTATGTAGTTATGCATTTATTGCAAAAATAACAAATTACAAGTAATTTGTAAGAAAGCCTTTGGACTTAATTATGTTATCACAGAAGTAATAATGCTAATAGATTAATTTGATCATATGTTGACATGAAAAATCCTGATAGTTTTAGCTGGTAATAGAAGGTAAACTAAATAGAAAAAGAAGTTCAGGATGGAGAAGCCCATATTGGCTGAAGAATTTTGGGGAGTGGTTTGGAAACAACACATTGTTATTTAGAGTTACCACATCTGATCACTGGTAAGGAGGTCAAAGTTTTGGTAAGGAAGGAAAAATAACTCATTCTTTGTAACAGCTTATTTCTTTGCCATTTGTTGGTCCTCATCAGCCCTAGTCAACATAGCCCATAGTGACAGATACAGTGGTGCCTCGCTAGACGGTTGCCCTGCTTTACGACAAAATCGCTTTATAATGGTTTTTCTGCAATTAATTTACCCATCGCAAAACGATGTTTCCAGTGGGGCTTTTTCGCACTACAATCACCCAGACCCGCTTTTGAGCACTTCAGAGGCTTTTCGTGCACAGTCAGGAAATGCCTCCAAAGTGCTCTAAAGTGGGTGCGGGGGGTTTCGGGGCACCCCCGCCAGGGTTCTGATGGTTTCCCATTCACCATCAGAGCCCTGGCAGGGGTGCCCTGAAACCACCGGCGCCCGCTTTAGAGCATTTTGGAGGCTTTTTCTGCACCATCAGAGGACTGGTGGGGGACCTCCAAAGCAGGTGATCGTGGGGAGGGGACCCCCCGCCAGTCCTCCCATGGTGCTTCCCCAGCTCCCTACCCCTTAAGTTCCTTTTTTTAAAAAAATTCCCCCTAGGAACGCATTAATTAATTTTCAATGCATTCCTATGGGAAATTTGGCTTCGCAAGATGATGTTTTCTCAAGACAGCGATTTCTGCGGGACGGATTAACATTGTCTTCCGAAGCATCACTGTAATGGGTATTGCTGTCCAGCATCATCTGCCACGCTATCCATTCTTCATTCCTGTATTAGAGGATCATGTTGTTTTCAGAGGGTTCTGTAACAAATCAAGTTCTGGCCTTTGTGAAGTAAGCAGTCTTTGATCTTTTATTTTAGCTTGTCAGTCCCAGTACTGAACATGTTGCTGAATGAACTGCTGTGCATCAGTAAGGTTCCTCCAGGAACTAAACATGTAGATGTGGATCTTGCCAGTTTACCTCCAACCACTGCAATGGCTATACTGCTCTATAATAGATGGTAAGACCTAAATTGTTTTGGGTGTTGTTGCTTTAGTTCAGATACACTGGGAAATTTTAAAACTAAATGGCCAACATCCTGTTGCATACTACAGGATGGAAGTTAGCGCCAGCAGCAAATTAACAATACATAACAGTCAGTTCCAACTATGGTAACCCTAATAGGTTTTCCAGAGTATGGGGAATATTTAAAGAGTGGTTTTACTAGTGCCACCCCCCCCAAAGAGTTTCCATGGTTGAATGGAGATTTGAACCCAGGTCTCCTGAGTCCCAACATTCTGTCCACTCTGTGCTGGCTCTCAGTTATAATATTGACATAAAATTTATCTAGAGAGATTTCTGGAATCCTTCAGAAATGGTAGGTTAGCATTTTTCTTTTGTATTTTGGACCAGAAATTATCATAAATAAAACCATGCCTACATAGGTTCCTAATTTTAGAGCTTTGGAGTTCTTGTTGCTGTTTTGTGGAGTGGAGCTTTGGCAGTGTTTACACTCTGGTATGAGCATATATCCCATGAAGTTTTACATATTTCTCCTTGTCATGTAGCTGTTTCATCAATCGCAGATCCTTTGTATTAAACTTGGGAACTATATGGAAAATACTGTATGTGACATTGTAATAATAAGACAAGCTGTTGGAGCTTTGATATTGTCAGTTGCTTGTTGCACTTCGAGTGTTACTTTGGAGATCAATCTCATCTAGCCAGAATGACTGAGTTCCAACTGAGCTGAAACAAGGTTGGCTGAACTATGCTGAATTGAAATCCTACCAAGCAACATTCCCTGTAATTTTCAGCCCTGCTGGATAGACCTCTGTCCCTGGTGTGTGCGACTCCACCCCCCACAGACACCCTGTGGGGTTCCGTGATGACCGGAATCAAAGACTGAAAACAATAACTATGTGTGTGTGGAGGAGGAGGAGCCTTATGTGGAGGGGGGGCAAAGTTGTGCAGGCATGCAACATAGAGGGAATCTTGATGTCCAGCATTGGAAAGTTGGAGAATACTTCATCATGATCTACATTTGTGCTGGCATAATGGCTGTGTTGCTGAGGTGGAGGTGGTTTGGACCTCCACCTGCTCTTTACCCCCGCCCCCCATTTTTTTGGTTCTTTTTTAGTCATATATTGGCTTCTGGTGGATCCATTTCCCAGCAGACCTTCTGCCAGCTGAGCGGCTTTTTCCTGTGCCTCACCTGCTCCAACTGGATTGTGTCAGTCAGAATTGCAGAGACTGTTACAGTACCACAAACTTCTTTTCTAAGCCATTCTTGAAGTTGGCCATATGATGTGTCTGTTTACATGAGCTGAACTACTCTCTGCTAATCCTTTCCACTTTCTTTTAATAGGGCTATTAGAACAATAGTCAAAAGTAGTTTTCCTGTCAAACTAGCAAAACCTGGTCCACCTCAACTAAATGTGTAAGTTTGTCCATCTATTTCAGATTCTTACTAGCACTAGATTAATTAGAATAATTTAACCCTAATTCAGAAGCCAGGTATTAGCAAGAGACAGTGGTAATTTGCAATTAGAAAATAATTTACAATAACAGTACAGTTCTATACATTTCTGCCGAGAAGTCCAGTTGAGTTCAGTGATGCTAAGGGAATGTCAGTTGGATTGCATCCTAAATAAATCTGCTCTTAAGTATTTTTGTTAATTATATGGTCAGTTTAAATTCTGCTATATATTTTTAAAAAGTATGTGTGTTACTAAAATATTTTGATAACAGATCCCTGATATTAAATATGTTGTGTTTTGAGAATATGTTCTGATTCTAGCAAAACTAATTATGTTGGAACAGCCTTGTTGATAAACCTAGACATTTCAAAATGAATCAGATATCAGTTTCTGAACTGAATGTTTTGAAATAGAGATTTGAACACTGTCAATAATTGATACTTCAATTCTGCTGTATTTAAAAGCTGGGAGATATTTTAGAGGTTTAAAGATAACCACAGCTATTTAATATTTGAATGGTCTGTTTTTTGTTTAGAATGAATCAGATCCAACAAGAAAAGGAAGTAACAGAAAATATTTTGAAAGTGGTAAGTGTCTTTCTCTCTTCAAGACATGAATGTTACTGTATTGGCAGATTGAAGTAAGGAATGTCAAATCTTGACCTGATGATTATGATGATTCAAAATATTTATGTTGCCTTACTCCTATGGGATCCACTGCAACTAAAGGTAAAGGTTCCCCTTGACATTTAGTCTAGTCGTGTCCAACTTTAGGGCCAGTGCTCATCCCCATTTCCAAGCCGTAGAGCCAGCGTTTGTTCGTAGACAGTTTCCGTGGTCACGTGGCCAGCGCAACTAGACACAGAACGCTGTTACCTTCCCACCATGGTGCTACCTATTTTATCTACTTGCATTTGCATGCTTTTGGATTGCTAGGTTGGCAGGAGCTGGCACAAGCGATGGGAGCTCACTCCATCACGTGGATTTGATCTTACAACTGCTGGTCTTCTGACCTTGCAGCACAGAGGCTTCTGCGGTTTAACCCACAGCACCACCATGTCACTTTAGACATACAAAGCCAGTGCAACTTACAGTATCTTAATTACTGATCTGATATGCTGTTCAGTTGGAGGAAAATAGTAGTCTTTGAAAATTATTGCTTCTCTGATAGTGAACGTCAAGCTTCATTTTACTCTTTTGTTGGAGCCTGGCACCCTCCTAACTTGATTGATTGATTGATTTGTATCCCGCCCATCTGGTCTATACAGCGCCAATTGTCCCCAGCCAGATCTGCCCATGGTATCTGGATATGATGTGAGTTGTGGTCTAACACAGTGGTTCTTAACCTTTGTTACTCGGATGTTTTTGAACTGCAACTCCCAGAAACCCCAGCCAGCACAGTTGGTGGTGAAGGCTTCTGGGAGTTGCAGTCCAAAACTCCTGAGTAACCCAAGGTTAAGAACCAGTGGTCTAACACATCCAGAAAGAGCAGGGTTGGAAGACCTGTTTTACTGCATTTTGGCTTTTTAGGTTGAGATTTAACCATTTAGGCTAAGACGCTTTGTAGACAGACATATTGTACTATAGCACATTCGATCATGTAAATCAGAATGCTGTCAGAATTATCATGGCGGTGGGTTTTAAGTTGTAACCATACTCTCCCTCTCATATGCCCCAGACTGATCATTCTGTTTTAAACTACCGTGTTTCCCCGAAAATAAGACAGGATCTTATATTAATTTTTGCTCTAAAAACACATTAGAACTTATTTTCAGGGGATGTTTTCTTTTACAGTCATGTCATCTTATGGCTGCACAATGCTGCACATTGGTGGAGGGCAGGGTTTCACTTAACTGGGGCTTATTTTTTGGGTCGGTCTTATTTTCGGGGAAATGGTAATTTTATTCCAAATGAAATCAGATGTCTCATTTTTAATGGCGCAGGGAGATATCTATGGGAATAGCTTCATAAAAATCACTAAGTCCAGGATGACAACAAAAGAAAGAATAATGTTTACCTTCAAAATCCTAAAATACACTTGTACAGTACTATGCATATAGATCTCAATTTTAAACTAGTTGAACTGTCATTGCTTTGGAATGAAACAGTAAATAAGTTTTTTGAAAATTCCCTGAGGGGAGTAGAGAGCATTTGTTAATTCAGAAGTTGATTTTGTGAAACTTGCATTGCAGTTGAGAAAAGGAGAACTTTCTCTTTAATAACATTAGAAGCATTGAGTGAATAACTGGATATGTACATTTCTTTGCATTCCTACAGTTGAAAGAACAAGCGGCTGATTCCATTCTGGTGTTAGAAGGAGCACTCAACTTAAGCAAAGAACTTTATATCCATACAATAAGGACTTTAGATTTGCTCGCCATGGAACCTGGGATGGTTAACGGAGAAACGGAGATTTCTATAGTTGGATTCAGCATTAGTGCTGAAGAAATGCAGTGTCAGGTATGCCAGATACAGTTGTTTTAGATAGCATACTGGTTTTGTGATGCAATTTGTGGTGCCACAAATGACCCTTCCAAGGTACAGGTAGATGATGCCTTTATTAGGCCACTAAAAATCAGAAGCAGATGCTGACTTTTCACCCATGTAGGTTTTCATTGGGCTGGGCACCAGTGGGCTGTGGCTGGTACAGAAAGAAGCAAAAACGCTCCAAAAATCATGGGTAGATGATGTCTATGCCAAGTTACTTTGTTAAAAGAGTTTCAAAATGGGGGCTGTAAAGCCAAGTCAGATATGTAGATTTCAAATTCCACCCCAGTGGTGGTGTTTGGATTGTCTCTCCCAAACCTGCTGGACAGACTTTCCAGCCAAAAAGGAACCTTGTGTTTCAAGACAGAGCAATAGGGGAGGGGTAAATGTTTAATGATGGCCAGCCTTTTGTCTAGCACATTTGGGAGGGAGAATCAAATCAACACAAGAGGTGGAATTTGAAGTTTACATCCTGGACTTGATTTTGCAGTCCCCATTTTTAAACTCACTTTAAGCCATGATTTTTGGAGCTTTAATGTTTTTTCTCTCAACACCATCCACAGCCCTGTGGTGTCCAGATTTAAAGCAATCTTTTGTTTGTGAATTTTTAGTTATCTGATAATAATATCATCCACCCATACCTTTTAGGCCGAGTACAAGGGCCATGTGGCTTTTTTTGCTTGTCAAATCCTTTGACACTCACAGCTGTCAGTTTACTTGTGGCTTCTCAACTTCAGGTGTTGGCAGTCTTGCAAATTATTCTAGTGTTACCATTCCCATTTGTTTATGAAGTTCGGTGTGATTAAGAAGTTTGGTACCATTACTTTTCTATCACTCATTTCTTATTTCTTGAAAATTATGACATAGAAATGTTCTCCTATTATAATTTATTTTTTTCTGTTTCAGGTTTGTTATGATTTAGGAGCCATCTACTTTCAACAAGGTTCCATTAACTCTGAGCTGTATGTAAAAGCCAGGGAGAAATTTTTTCGAACCAAAGAGCTAATTTCAAAGGTTGGCTTATCCATGATAATTTACTTTGGTTTGTCGATTTGTAACCTGGTACTTTGTGTCCGTGCAGTACAATCCTGTAAATACAGTACTTGCTTAGGATGCAGGTCTGTTGTGCTCATTTAGGCTTATCCCCTAATGCATGTGTTTAGGGTTGCAATATGGACTTGTATATATTTCTAGTGGGATTCCGATAGTTTCAAGTCTGTTTTGAAGGTGTCTGTTTGAAAGAACATACATACCAGTATCACAGCTACAAAAGAAGAATAACTTTACCTGAGTTCTACTCAGCCAAGTGTTAAGAAGTACATTATGTAACATAAAAGGCCCTAGTAGCAGAAATAATTTTTTTATTCAGAAGTTCCCAAAATTTTATCTCAAGTAAAATTATAATACGTCTATATGAGTTCTGTTCAAATTAAACACACTTACTGCCTTTGAAGGCATTAGTCTTGAATAGTAAAAAGCCATTGATACATATTTGATACATTGTTGTATTACAGATTGGCTCCTCTCTTCATTGCATCATAGATGAAAAGAGGCTCGCGGGATACTGTCAAGCATGTGGAGTTCTTGCACCTTCTGAGAATACCTCACAACCATCAACTCCATACAGTCAAATCCATAGCTGCTTAAGATCTGGCAATTATCAGGTAACTGCTCTAACTCAATGCATATTTCAACTAGCATTAGTAGATCATTATATTATCTCTGTTACTTAGCTTATCATCCAAAAGTATTACTACTTAGTTATTTCAATAGGTTATATTTGGAGCAATTCATTGTGTATGGAATTTTTATTTAGCCTCATGTTAAAGTTACCTTGGTCTGCCTATCAGCATAAAATTATATTAATCTGAATTATAAGATTAGTTGTCACACAGCATATTGGGGTATGTTAACTGGAAGTGCTGCTCTAATCACAATTTACAGGAATCTTTTAGTTTAGGTCTTAGCTTTTCTGGTTTATGATTTCTAAAGCAATAAAACATTTGTGATAGCAAATGCAATCTGATATCTAATCAGATTTGTAATCTGATATCGGTATAAAATTAATAGTAGTAGAACAGTAATATACAAAATGGACTGACTGTGTTACGAGAGAAAACGCCTTCTTTGTAACACCCCTATATCTGTCAAATACTCTCTCAGGGAAAATCTTGCCACTGCTCTCATTAGTAACATGCATGTGCTTGATAAGGGCTGGACTTAATGATCCACAAGGTACTTTCCAGCTCTGAATATACTGCATTCAGACACCAGACTAAAACCTATCTTTTCTAGCAGGATTGCTTTTTATTTTTATCTTTGCTTTTTCTGTGTATTATGGCTCTTAACTTTCTAATGTTTTACAGTTTTAATACCATTTGGGCTAGTTTATTTGCTTTTATTGTGAAATTGGATTGATTGATTTAGGTTTTTATTGTGAAATTGGATTGAATGATTTAGGGTTTTTTTGTTTGTAAACAACCCGAAGGGCATTTGCCTATTGGGCATCATATAATTATTTCAAATAATTGGTAAATGTGTTTTTGTAAAATCTTTTGCCATTTGCTAGTATTCTTGAATAAGAACAGATTGACCTTGTTAAGACATAGTTCTGTGTGGCTTTGCTTTGTAGGTTTAAATTACTTTCCTTGGGCAATTAACATTAGTCAGTTTCTCTTTATTGTTAATTTTTTGCCTGTCTTCCATGAAAGGCACACAGAGTGATGATTTAACTTCATAAAGACCCTGTGTGATTGGTTAGGCAGAAAGACAGCACTTTTTCCAAGCTATATGGCTGAGCAAGGATATTGGTTCTTACGTTCATGTGCAGTATTCTGAATGCTGTGTCACATTATTGAAAATGAAGCACAGGTCCCTTTATCTGTATTGTTGTGAAACGTATGTATTTTCCTATATTGTATTCTAGGAACTGGTGAAGATTTTCCTTGAAGATAACAAAACACCTACTTTACCTGTGCAGTTCAGGCAGTCAGTACTAAGAGAGCTCTCTCAGAAAGCTCAACAAGGGTGAGCAATAACTTGAATTGGAGACCCATTCATATGTACACATTGGCCAAAATCCTGTTGCTTATTGTTGTAAATTGCACTACATTAGGCCCATTGAATCAATGGGGATTTGGTGAGTCGAATGTGATTTACTATGCTAAGCAACAGGATTTTGATCATTGTTTCAACAGTTGAGGGCAGGAAGAATGTACGAATCTCTGAGTATTGTCTTTTTATGGATTTTTACCTAGTGACTGATAAATTAGTACTTGATGATCATTTGACTGAATTCTATGTAACACACACATAATTTATACTTTTGACTTAACTTAGTTTTTATAATAGGAACAGAGTGTTGCTAAGGTATAGAATAATTGCTAGTGTCTACTCAGCAACATGCCTGTGGTATGAAAATGTTTACATCTTCTATCCTTTTAGCCCATGGATGGTTTGTAAAAAAAATTTTCTAATTAGGTTAGAAGTGTGTGCTTTTTACCATAATTTGTGTTCATAATCTATATTTTATATAGCAAAGTCAGTCTGTTTCAGCAACAACACAATAAGAACATATTGTGGCAGCATTAAGAATAGCAAATTCATTTTGATATGAGCTTTCATGGATTACAATCCAGTTCTTCAGACACAGTGGATAATGATCTATGGAAGCTCATACTGAAATGGTTAACCTTAAATGTGCTATAGTACTTTTACTTCTTTTCTGTTGCATTTGATGTTGCCTCCCTGAGGAATACATTTTACAAAAATAAGTGATGGGAGAGACAAAAGGTAATGTATTCTGAAATAAAAAGTATATTATTTACTGATCTTTCAGGTACAGTATATTATTCTATTGCTAACACAGTCCTTTAAAATCCCTTTGCTCTTTATGTAGGGATGATGTCCTTGATGACGTGTGTTTCAAGGTGTGTGCATGCAATAGTGTCTGTGATGTGATGCAAGATCGACCAATTGGAGTCCAATTTAACCGGCTGTTTTTTAGGCCCACAAAAGAGAAAATAGACTTTCTGCTTGAGGTAAGGGCTCATCCTCAACCTGAAGCTTAATTATCTTTTAAAATACCTCATAACATGCTAACTTTGTACAGTTTACTTTAAATGTATCTTAGTTAAGGTGTGCTTTTAAAACAACAACAACACATGACTAGAGATGGGTGTGAACAGCCAGTTCAGTGGTTCATCCCATTTTGTTTACCACCGCAGGAGGTGTTTGGTGGGCGCCCACTCAGAACAGTGTCCAGAGGATGAACCAGGATGAACTGCCAAACATAGTTCATGTCCAGCTCTACACATGACACCAGTGTCATGTTTATGAGTCACTGTCCTGCTCAGGCATGCAACCCAGCAGCAGTCCGCGGCCTATCCAGGACTGGGCCGTAGACACAGATCTCTTAACCCCCCGAGCGCCCCCACAAGCACTATCATGTGCATGCGCACAAGCGTGTTCCGCCCCCACAAGTGCACTGTGCACATGCACACAAGCACCCCCCAAGTGCAATGTGTGTGTGTGAACTCTGCCCCCCTGCGGGTGCACCACACACACCCCAACCAGTCTGTGGTTGGGAAAAGGTTGGGGACCTCTGTCTTAGAGTATGTGTGAGAGGGCTCCATTTGTGTGGAATTGTTATTGTCATTCACTGGAGAAGTCTTTCTTAATCTAAAGTCTGTATTTCAAAGAAAGGCAACTGATTCATAGGAGTTGCTATAAAGAGTATACAAAATTGTAAACTAATAAAATTGGTCATATTATATAATAAAAAGCATGCTGGATTTTTACTGAAGCTCAATTACTTAACTTTACTAGGTATGTTCAAAATCAATACATGTTGAAACTGCATCTGAATCTGCGAGGAGGAAGATGGCCTATTTTCTGAAGTAAGTGTATGATTTTAGAATGGTTGCATTCCCTGTTAAACACTTGAGAGTAATGTTGACTTTCTTCTAAAACGTGATGAGCAGGTTAAGTCATAATGTGTCACTGGGACCAGAGAAGAGATAAATATGGTAGAGAGAGGGAGAATGAATAAATGACAGACCTCTGAAACTTGATGAAATATTTCTGCACCGCATCTCGTAGGATGACAGTACTTCTTCTGAAAGGTGGAAGTAACTACAGTGGTGCCTCGCAGACGATGTTAATTCGTTCTGCAAAAATTGCTGTCTTGCGAAAACATCGTGAAATGCAGTTCCCCATTGGAATGCATTGAAATCTATTTATTTATTTATTTATTTTATATCCTGCCTATCTGGTCTTACAGATACTCTTTACACACTATTTAATGCGTTCCAATGGGGAAAAAATGGTGGTCTTGCGAAAATCACCCATAGGAAAACCATTTTGCGAAGCGCGGACCCAGCTGTCAAAATCACTGTCTTGCAAAAAACCGTCCCTTAAAAAACCGTTTTGCGTAGCGCAGACCCAGCTGTCAAAATTGTCTTGCAAAAAACCGTCCTCCCAAAAAACCTGTCTTACAAAAATCGCCCATAGGGAAAAACATTTTGCGAAGCGCTATAGCAATTGCAAAAACCCATTGTATTGCAAATTAACCGATTCGCGAGGCACCACTGTACTGAAGATTTTCTGATTGTCTGATCACTGTCATGCCTGAGCTAAATACCTGACATTTTCTGGGTGTGGCTTGTTTTCTGTGCACAACAAACATTTTAAAATGACAATTTCTTTTTATGTGCATCTTTGCTTAAAGGGTGATCTCCTCTCATTTTATACAGGAATCTATGTTTGAGTTTGGACGATCTCCAGCTTGTCTTCATGATTTCTTCTCATGAGCTCTTCATAGCATTATTGAAAGATGATGAGCGAAAGTTGCTCATTGATCAAATGAGGAAAATGTCACCTCGAGTCAACTTAGGCACTAAGCCTATAACTTCATTTTATGATATTCCAGGTGATTTTTCTCCTATTTCTTTTTAAATGTTCAATTTTTTATATCAAAAGAAAAATGACAATGGCATTGAGTGAAGAATTAATTGACCTGTTCTGGGTCTGTGAATCGCAAACCGGTAGGTGACATACAGTGTATTACTTGTTCTGCTTCACTGGGCTATGTGGCATTTGTCCAGCTGGAACATATACAATGGATCATATACACTGCTTTTGGCTGTAGTCCCACCATAGAGGGTTATGAACATAGCTGTCCTTTCTTTGCCTTAGGAGCTATTGGCTCTTTGGGGCAAAAAGGAGAATGCTGCTAAGTGACATTATGCCGATAGGAGCTGGAGGTCTGTCTCTATGCTGGTCTTTCTCCGTGGAGTCAGCAAGGAATGCGGTCATAGGAACATATGCAGCTGTCATATAAACTCAAGCCATTGTTTCATCAATCCTAGGATAGTCACTTCTGGCTTCAAGTAATAGCTCTTCAGGATTCCAGACAAAGTTTGTGGTTTGTCCTGTCAGTAGATCTGTGATATTTCCTAATGGTCTCTCCTCCAAGTAATAATGAGGCCTGATCCTGCTACACTTTTGAAATCAGATGTGATCATATGTTTTCAAGATGGTATGGTGAGGATAAGTATACTCAGATCATTCCTTGGATGTTCTCTTGGATGGGGCTAGAGAGCTAGTCACATCATTTATCTTTCTGAGCTGCAACTGGGATGGTGCATCTTTATTTGTGGGTGAGTTGAAGAGGTCAGTGCAGAAAGGAAGCACAAGTATTACTCGGAATAGCATAATATTTGCTACCATGCCATTCCAGTGAATTCCCCAGAGACTACTTTTCAAGCCATGGTGTAGACATTTGATTTGTGGTGTCCCCCCGATCCAAAAGTCACAGAACTATGTAATAATCATGGTATACACTATGTAATAAGCATGGTATACACTATGTAATAAGCATGGTATATATAATGGTACACTATGTAATAAGCATGGTATACTGTATATAACTATTCTAGGGAACCTAACTTCTGTGTGTCAAGATTATGATCATTTTTGGAATTCTGCATATACTAAGGACACCCCCATAGCATGTTTTTATATGATAGATGTAATTAGTGCTCCTTTATTTGGTAAGATTTTTTTCTTTTAATTAAAAACTTTTTATATCTGCTCCTTCCTGTTTGTTATCGTTCATCAAAATAAATGGTTCATTTACTAATGTTACCACTTTCCATTCAGCCTCAGCAAGTGTGAATATTGGTCAATTGGAACACCAGCTTATATTGTCAGTGGATCCCTGGAGAATCCGCCAGATTTTAATTGAGCTGCATGGCATGACTTCAGAACGTCAGTTCTGGACAGTTTCTAACAAGGTACTTTGATTTTCTCAAATTGGTTTAAATGAGAACTATATCACAGTGAGTAACAAGTATTTATTTATTTATTTTTAGTGGGAAGTACCCAGTGTTTATGGCAATGTTATTCTGGGAATTAAGGATAATTTGACCAGAGATTTGGTTTATATTCTGATGGCAAAGGGACTACACTGCAGCACAATTAAGGTGAGGCACTTCTTCTCTGTCTACTGAAAGTGTGATTTATTAGGATTCTTCAGTGCACCAGATTGACTTTTTAATAGTACAATATTCCAGTTACAGTTTGTTTTACATTTAAAATGTTACCTGTTATATCAGAAAAGATCCTTCAAAGCATATACACATAATGTAGGACTATCATTTTAAATCTATACCAGTTTCCTGTTTGCAGACTTGATCCCTATCTGTGGAGCTTAATGGCGTTTGCCACAGTTTTGTATGGTCATACTGCTTGTGCAAGTAACATAACTTTGCTTTTTTTCCCTACTTGCACAAGGGGGTATCTAGGACCTCTTTGTTTAGGCATACCTTAGTTGTATGTGATGCATTTGTGTTTGTATATTGGTTACATTTATACAAAACCGCCCGGAGAGTGCTTGTAGCACTATGGGGTGGTATATAAGTCAAATCAATCAATCAATCAATCAATCAATCAATCAATCAATCAATCAATGGCATATCCCACCTTAGTGGACCAGTATGACAGGAACCCTGACCAATCTACTTGTGAACAGGGAAGCAGGGTGATTGGATGGGTGGTGCATGTGGCCAGCCTATCTGGAAGCCTAAAGGAGTAAGAAGCTGGAGGGCTGGAGTGTGATGGGAAGGGGAATATTACTGAAGAAAGGGGTGTGTGGTAACTGAAGCTTAGCTCTGTTCCCAAGTTGATGTTACTATGTAGTAAAATTATATCATTTTCATTCTTTAGCTACCTGGTCTGGTGTGGTTAATTGGCTGGTGTCAAACATGTTACTGGAAAGTTATTTTAAAAAGTCATAAGCCTGAGTTGGGCCACGTCACAGGTGTCTGGAACCTCTTCATTTAGCTGTTTGTGATGCATCTGTCCTTGTGTATTGGTTACATTTATGCAAGTGGCATACCCCACCTTTCTGGACCACTGGGACTTCACATTCTGTAAGAGTCCAGAAGTCCTGATTGGCCTATATAAGCAGCATGTGTAGGTGACAAAATGTGCTGCCTGAGACAGTGATGTCACTGACCTGCCATTTTATGCTGGGCATCTAAGCATCTTGGGACTGTTGGTCCTTTATGGCAGAATGGAGGTGGACAAACGTGTAAGCAAATGACATGGGGGGGAGTAATCTCCACTGGGGCTGGTTGTGGGGGTAAGGATTGACTTGGCTGCTTGTCTTTCTAGCTGTATTAAAAGGATGAGGGCAGAGCATGAGGGTTATTCTTTCTCATCTTTGATTAGGGTCAGCAATAGAGCTTTCTCTGCCAAATACAAGCAGATGTGTGACATGGCTGTTGTAGGTTTTTCAGGCTGTTTGGCAGTGTTCTGGACGTTTTTCTTCCTAATGTTTCGCCTGTCTCTGTGGCCGGCACCTTCAGAAGACAGGAGTTAGAACATGTTAGGGCATGTTCAGCTGCTGCCAATTTTTCCTGAAACAACCTGGACATGAAATCCTATTTCAAAACACAGACGTACTGGACAACACCAGCAGTCATTATGTTAGACTACACAGGGAAGCCACTGATATCCACAAACATCAGCAAAGCTTCAACAAAAAAGAAGAAAATCTAAAACTCAACAGTCTGTCTCCCAGCACTGAAAAATACAGCCTGCAAAAATGTCAACAAACTCTACCCAACCACAAGGACTGGTGATCACTGCACACAAAAGACTAGCTAACAGCACCCATTAATCACAGTGATAGATCATCTCCCCCCTTATCACAACAATACACGCGTAACAAAAAACACCCTGATCGCCATAATCACCCAGTCTCCTGAAAAGGACAAAAAGCTGATCCCACAGCTAAAAATACTCAACTATCCCATACACTACATCAGGACACTGACAGAGTTCTAACTCCTGTCCTCTGAAGATGCCAGCCACAGAGACTGGCAAAACGTTAGGAAGAAAAACCTCCAGAATATGGTCAAACAGCCCAAAAAATCTACAACAACCATCAGATCCTGGCCATGAAAGCCTCCGAGAATAAAATGTATGACAATTTGTTGGGTTCTTGAGGTATCCCAGGAATCTTTGTTAGCAGTACACAAATATTGCCCCTCGCTTTTCACATTCATGTTTGTATCTACAACAGGAAATAGAGCCAGCTACTCACACAGATTTTCATTGCAGGATTTTGTCCATGCAAAACAGCTTTTTGCTGCTTGCCTTGAACTTGTGACGGAGTTCTCGCCAAAACTGCGCCAAGTCATGCTGAATGAAATGCTGCTTCTGGACATTTATAGCCATGAAGCAGGAGCAGGTCTTTCAGGAGAACGTCCTCCCTCTGACCTGATCAGCAGAGTTCGGGGATACCTAGAAATGAGGGTCCCTGGTAAGAAGGATTAACTTATATACATAGAAAGAATTGATGATCAAAATCATAGGCACTTAGCTGTGAAAAAGGAACACGGTTGTTGTTTATAATAACAATAATTCATGCCAGATATCTTTTCCCTTCTTACAACGAATTGTACATATGTATGTGATAAATTATAAGTGTTTACTTCTCATTTTATTCGCATAACAGCCATGTGAAGTAGACGAGCCTGAGGTGCAAATGTCCTCATTGGGCTTCCTTGGTGACAGGGGATTTGAATATTATTTTTCCCAATTAGAGTTGACCTAGCCTAATTATTATTATTATTATTATTGTTGTTGTTGTTGTTGCTGCTGTTGCTGTTGCTGTTACTGTTAAGTGTATTTTAATATGATTTACTAAGATGAGTCTTAGTCTCTGGATCCAGGTCCCTATTCTACTGTTACAAAGTTAGGTATCAAACTAGTAGAAAACTTTAAAAGTTTTTAAACTTAAATGTTGGAAGCTGTGTACCACCAGTGAATATGGCCAGAGCCCAGAGTGATTGTAACCAGAGTATATTTTTCATGCTGTTCTAACACATATATAAACCCTTTCCAGCCCTTCCCCCACAGCTGATCAATGCAAAACTGCTGAGTCAAGTAGTGTTTCCCAGCTAGATGCTCAGTAAAGGAGCCTATTTTGCTGCTGAGTAGAGATATATCCCCCCCCCGCTCCAGCACTACAGAAGAAAATGTAGACAACCACAAACGTTATCAGATTGATTTTGTATCAAAAATGAAAATGAGCAAAGACATCGCCAGATAGATCTCTGTGTGATTCACAATGCGTTGGTGAAATTTTCTGGCTCTATTTAGCAGTGATAAATAAAATGCAGATAAAAATTCAAAACATTCCACGCCTTTGTAGGCCTTGTGTTAATCGTATATCTTCCAAGTGGAGTGTTTCTTGTCTTTGTCCAAGTCTCCATGCATATATGTTGGCCATTTAGTTTCCTTTGACCAGGTCTTTGTGTAGTTCTTGCAGCCAACTCTAGTGCTTTATTAGAATCACCAGGTGGTAATAATTCTCTGATGCAGACTTGTATATTAAGGTTGACCTAACATGATTTATGATAATTGCTCCAATGTGCAATTATAATTGCATCAATTTGCATGTAGGCCTTCCTATCCCATGCCACCCATATATTTTACATCTAGGGGCACACCAGACTTACAGTAAAAAAAGGCCTGCTCACTTCTACTCTTTTTGTTTTGAAATACCTGTGCAGTTGCTCTCTAAATTTACCTTTTAGATATTCCTCTTCGGCAAGTTGTAGCAGAGGAATGTGTTGCTTTCCTTTTAAATTGGCGGGAGAATGAATACTTAACCATGCAAGTTCCTCTTCCTCTCGTTCAGACCAATCCTTATGTGAAGGTAAGCCATGTTTCAACACTGGCACCAAATACATTTGAAATTGTCAAATTCTGAACTATCTTCGGACTTGTTTTTGTTATGTTTAAATGAAATTCATTCTGGAACTTTTCTTATCAGCTTGTTTGTTCTTTTATCCTGTGGTTTTTTCCTACTACATTTTCTGTCCACCCACTTGGTGAAACATTCACAGGTATAAGTAAATTTCCCAGATAATTTTAATAGTTGCTGTTGATGCCTAGTTTTATGACAGAAGAATCTGAAATAGAAAACTCGATATTAAGATTTTTAGAGGAGCTGAAGGCTAATTGCTATTCACAATCTATACATCTCTTAATAATGGGAGACTATACAGTACAGTGGTGCCTCGCATAGCGACGTTAATCCGTTCCGGATTAATCGCCGCTATGCGAAAACATCGCTGAACGGAACGGAAAAAGCCATAGGAACACATTAAACTTTGTTTAATGTGTTCCTATGGAGGATAAACTCACCGTTCAGCGATGTTCCTCCATAGGGGCGGCCATTTTCGGTGCCTCTAAAGCGAGGCAGCACAGCCGGTCGGCCATTTTGGAACCGCCGACCAGCTGACCGAAAATGGGGCCTTTGGCATTTCCCCCCAGCTGAGTGGC